GAACAGGTGGAAGGCCGAGGGGGCTCGCGGCGGTGGGTGCAAGGCGGACGCACGAGTAGGGGGACGCCGCGCCGCCTCGATGCGTTCGATGATGGTGTCGTAGAGCTCGCCGCCCGTGCAGAGGCTCCATGACGATGTGCACGTAGTCGCGAATCCTCGTAACGCGCCCTTCATGTTCACGATGTTCGGCTGCCCCTGCACTCGCCCCACGCCACGCACGTCGCGCGCGCACACCGGTCAGCCCACGGCGAGGATGCAACGCAGTCAGCGGTGGATGGCATGCGGGCAACCGCGGGGATGCGAATGCGACATGGCTGTGCACACGCGCTCTCGCAGCAATGAAGACAGCGCAGCAATGCGGACAGCGCAGCAATGCGGACAGCGCAGCATTGCGGACAGCGCAGCATTGCGGACAGCGCAGCATTGCGGACAGCGCAGCATTGCCGACAGAGCAGCATTGCCGACAGCGCAGCATTGCCGACAGCGCAGAAATGCCGGCAGCCGCAGATATGCATCCGGCGCTGCGTGCCGCAACTATTCGAGTTCGCGCCTGCACGTGGCGCAGCGGGGCCAACGCGCACCTGCACGTGGTAGAGGATGGCAACCTCGCGTCGCACGTCCTCGACGTCATTCTCCGTGAGCAGCTTGCTCTTGGGAATCGACTTGCACGCGTACTTGTTGCCCGTCGAGCGCTCGCGACACACGTACGTCGTCCCAAACTGCCCCGACCCCAGCTTCTGCCCGAGGTCGTACAGATTGGTGAACCGGTCTGCACACCGCAAAAAGGGGTGAAAACCGAAAGGAGCACAAATGAAGCCGTTTTCCAAACGCACGCCTTAAAACCTTCTAGAAAGCACGAAACTTTCTCAAAAGTGAGGGCGGAAGGAATGCCGGCACTTACCTTGACTTGGTGTCGCGAGCACGCGCAATGATGGCGATCGTTTCTTAGACTGACCAGCGGCGTGGACCCACGACGACACATGCACACACAGCAGAAACAAACTAGCGCTGCGTGAGACAGAGGGTGACCATCAGATACAAATGCCTGCCACGGTAGCTACGTTAAAAAACCCATTGGGTCAGTCAAACGACGAAAACGCGTCTAAACTCACATCGGCCATGTCGCCTAACCTCGCAGGAGGCAGTCAAAGACTAAATTAAGTTCTTCGGAGCGGACTCTACAAGCGTCGGTGGAGACCACTCGACCTCGATATCACCGCCGCTGCTCTCTCGATTCTGGTCCTGCGTGAGCCTGATTGCCAGCCACCTCTCATCTCGAGGGGAGAAGCGGGTGGGGGGAAGGACATGGGCTGTGCCTGCCAGACAGCTCCGCTCCGCCTCCAGAAAGGTGAGGTGAGGTGGCAGGCCGGAAGATGGTCGTGCGAAACCACGACATCCTCGGTTCTTTCGTGACGACCAAATAATCCATGGCTTGTTATTCAATACAATAATCATAGCCGAACTGTTGTGTAGCTCCGTCTTGTACAATAATTCCTCCGCTGAAGGGCACAAAAAAATTCTGCTGATGCCCAGCTTAGATGATTGGGACGGTAGGCAACTGGGCTCTTTGATGTTTCGCATCGCATCCTGGGACCAAACATCAAGGCCACAGGAGAGAAATGCGACTTTTATTTCTCGTAACACTGAGCAATTCTGCTATAGAATATATGCACAACCTAAATCCCGCTCCAACGAGTTGTATTCCCCAGTACAGTAATCCTGGTGGGCTCCTCGGGATCACATTTATCTTTCCACGAGTGGTCCCTCCATGAATCAGCCCATCTTGCCATCATATGAGCTGATAGTCTTCTCAACGAATACAGAGCAGCAGTCTTGGAAAAGCCAGACTCGGTGAAGATGAAGTGGTTGCAGTGTGTGAATAGCAGCCACTCTGCCACGGTGGATTGAAAGGCTTCTGCTCTTTGTTCATCTGAGAACCCTTGAAGCTCAATGTGAAGGGGCTGTATATCGGTTGTCATGACCTGCACACAAGGATCCAGGTGGCAGGGGTCAAGCGAGTCGGTGGGGCATGAGGTGCCGTTTCTATCTTCTGATACCAGAACAATCTACCGGCACCTCTCCACGAGCCTTTTGTGTTACCGTACCTTACTGCCATATTTCCTCTGCGCAGCCTGCTTGAGTCCAAGCGATGAGCTCATGAGCACCCACTTGACTGCCATGCCTGGGGCGTCACTCGAATACCAGTAGTCCTCTAGCTTCTGCATGGGCCATCACATACAACCCTCAGTCACAAACAGATGATGCAAAGCACGGCAGCAGAAGAGCATGAGGACTGCCGTGGCCACCCACCTGAGCGCAGGCAAAGAGGCGGTGGGAGCCCTTGAGAAGACGCTTGACGTTCTCCTTGCGCGGCTTCACCTTCTCGCCCACCTTGGGCTGCTCCCACGTGGAGATGTCACTGGTGCGCACGTGGATGCAGATGGACGCCGTGCCCGGGTACGTCAGCCGCGCTATGCCCTCTCGCACCATGTGCCGCACCCCTGGCGTCGGCCTGCCGCCACCACCATGACAGTTCCATGCATGGAGGTGGGCGAGGGGCCAGGTTAGAGGTGCGAGGCAGAAATGTGGTGGACGCACATTGAGATGCTGCTGCAGTGTAAGGTGGACAAGCTTGTGCAGAGGCTGGGGAGCATGTGTGACAGCATTTCATCAGCAAGCCGTGACCTGTGGTGCACAGCAACCACGTGGCATGCGACACTACGTGGGGTGGCATTGGCACCTACATGATAAGGTATCGCAGAATGCACCCGAATGCGGACGGCAGTCTGAGCCCTCGTCTGTGCAGCTCGTGCCACCAGGCACCGTCCTCCTCGTACAGCCGCACCAGCAGCCCGCGGTTCCACATGAGCCTGATGTTCCTCGCGGCGCGCATGCGCTCGAAGAACTCCGTCACGTTGCTCGGCAGGTCGCGGTTGTGCAGATTCACGCGCAGCACCTCCCCCTCCTGCACCTCGTTCGGGTCCGCCCGCCCGCGCCTGCGCCTGTCTCTTGGGCCCGGCGGGAAGGGGCGCGCGGGGTCCATGGGGACGTCGTCGCCGAGGCGCCAGTCGATGTGGTTGGGTTCGAAGGCGTGCAGCATCCAGGGGTAGTCGACGATGAGGATGCGATCCTGCAGCACGCACAGCAGGAACGACGACACGAGCCCGATCAGCAGGTCGCCGATCCCGCCGCACAGCCCCGGCGTGCACGTGAACGTCAGGTACCGCAGCTCCGCCTTCTCCTGCGCCCGCGCCGACGGATCGCGCGCCGCAGCGCGGGCGGAGGTGTGGAAGGCGGTGTAGTTGTGCTGCCAAGCGTCGCCGCACGGCAGCTCTGTGTCGTCCGTGGAGTGCGGGCGAGCCAGATGCGACGGCAGCACGAGCCTGCGACGACCATTGTACTGCTCGTTCGAATGGCTGACGATGGTGGAATGACGATCAGCAGAGGTGGGAGAGGGGTGACTGAATTGGTGGGAGGTGAGAGGAGAGGCTGTAGCCGCGGATGCTGTTATAAACAGAAGCAAGGAGGACAGATGCCGGTAAGACTGCAATCGAATAGCCATTGTTGATCGGTGAAGCCGTTGAGGCCGCAGCTGGCGTGCCTGAAGGCGATTACATAACTCGAGATGACCGACAGACACGACGTATATTCTGACAAGAAACACGACTGATAACAGAAGTCTTATGAAAACGCACGCATACTATAGTCTACCTGGGTGGCACACTGATCATACATGGAACCATAGAAACAATGCGCCGACCTAGAGAGCTCTTTATTCACTTCTGCTTCGTGATCAGATGGGCCCAACAAATGCTTCTGTACGCCGTTGACGCTGCCTCGGTTTTTTGAATTTGCTGGGATTGAATGGAACGGTCGTGTATTATCGACCAAATTCGACCAATTCGGACAACCAACAACTTCTGGCTCACTCCACATTGACTCCACACATCCATGGCTCACCGCGCCGTAAAGCTTCCAACCCCTGGCGAGACCTGAGGCCACCTCACCCCACCCATTCCACCCAAGGGGAGTGGGGAAGCGGCCCGCGACTGGATGGGGTGGGGTGGGGTGGGGCGGGATGGGGACGAATTTCGTGGTCCCGCAAGCGTGTTCTGCACGCAGCACACCGCATCCGTGCGGAGCGACGGGGAAAGTGCGGAGCTGTGCGTCAGCGGCGGTACTCAGCCGCGCGATCCCATCCATCACATCCATCGGATTTCCCAAACTATCGCATTTCAGTCGCATCGCATTCCCATCCCATCCAATTCCTCGTCGCAATGCCATCGTCACGCTCGCCTGCCTGACCACAGGCAGCACAGGCGTACCACAGGCCAGCGAGCGACTCAGCGATCCCCCCGTCATCAGTCAGACCGCCCGCCGTAGGAATGCTGTGTGCACTCATCCTACCCTCGCCAACCTGCCGTACAATCCCAAGGCTAATTTGCTGTTGCGAGATTTGCCAGTCAAAGCAACAACACACCCACCTGCTGCCTCTGTCAGCCTTGCCTGTGATAGCATGATTATTCAAGACCCTGCTGATAGCGTTAATAGTAGTTTCAGTTTGTGAATTACGTAGTGGAAGTGAGAGCGAGCGAGAGCATGGCTCGCGATAGGAGCGTGTGCGTGGAGGCCAACACTGACGACGTACCTCCGCCGCCCAGGGGTCACTCGTCGCTTCGCAGTCAATTTCGCGAGGTCAGACAGGTTGCGAGGCCTTTCTACTTGTCGCTGGCCATGCCGTTCGCTGTTCGTCGGAGTGTGCGCTGTCAACACCTTCGACCTCCAACATGCGCGCTCGTTCTGATTGTACACAAGCAGCGCGTTGCCCGTCGTCGTCTACCCACGCGTCTGCCATGTCAGAATGCATCGCTCACAATCTAATCACACTTATTTGTTCCCGTGTGTTCGTCTTTCGTCCTTCAATCTAAAGTCTGATTTCCAATGAATTTGAGCGCGCACTCGCACCGTGTATCCCGACGTTTCCCGCGTTTCTTCCGCAGGCTCCTGCAAGCGCGCAGTCGGTCGCACAAGGCCGGTCGCTGCCGTCGTCGTCGTCCGTGCCGAGCGGCAACGCGCGCTACATCCGCTCCACCACCACCCCCCCTCTGCGCCGACCCCCGCCCGCGCAGCCCCCTCCGGCTGAGGGGAGCGATGGCGACGGGAACAGCAAGCCAGAACCCCAAGCGCGGGAGTTGCGCGGCAAGCAAGGCGCGCGCGAGGGTGGCGGGAGCAAGAGGATGGAGAATGGCGAAGGGGGAACGCGGGCGCAGGAGGGGGCGGGTGGGGGAGGCGCGCAGGAGAAGGCGGGGGTGGCGGGGGTGGCGGGGGTGGCGCGCGAGGTGCTGTTCGTGAAGGGCAACGTGGCGGTGCATCCGTCCGCGTCGTCCAGTCGCAAGATCGCGGGGCAGCTGCGCCTCGTCAAGCATGGCGCTGACGTCTTCCTCGTACGCGCACGCCCCCCGCTTCCTCCCCTCGCCCTTACTTGCCACTCCTCGCCCCCAAACGCTCCGCCTCCCCGCCTCGCCTTGCCTCGGCCCATCTCGGCCTGCTCGCGTTTTTTGTCATGTCCGTGTGTGAGCCGGTTCATCCCTCCCCTTGGATGCGCGTCCCAGGAGCCCGCCCCTTGCTCCGCTCTATCACTCCACTCCTCGCCCTCTTTGCCCTTCCGCTCTTAGGAATCTCACCCACCCATGCCATGCCACTTGCCATGCCATACACCACTCATCCCACCAATATGCACTCCCTGCCCCACATACCCGCCCCTGCCGCTGCTTCCAGAACTGGATTCCCTACGAGCCCTCCTCGCCCGCAGGCACGCCTAAAGGTGCGTAGATGCGTTGATTGTACAGGCCATGGCCTCGCGTTGCCGCATGCACACATGGCATTCAGCGTGCACTCTGCACGGCACTGCGCTGGTCAGGCACCCACCGTGGTGACACTGCCGCCTGGCGTCGCGTTGATCTCACCATGCGTGCATGCGTCTCACCTGTTGTCAGCTGCTGCTACCGTCGCCCTCACCTGCTCTTATCACATGTCATGTGAGCTAGCTCCCTCAGTGCATCGCACGGGACATCCTCCCAATACCCCCACCCTCCCACTCCCCCCCCCCAACCATTGGATGGGCCAGGCATAGCGCGCGGCAGTCTGCTGTACTCCATCCGCTCAGTGGCCGTCTCAGAGATGCGCTCCATCCGCCGCCACACACCGCCCTTCGGCTGGCACTACATCATCATCGTCCTCACCTCAGGTCACGCCCCTCCCCAGCCGCTCTCTCTCCTCCGCGCATTCCCCGTATCTGCCCTCCACCAATGCTGAGCTGACCCTGTGCGTGTGTGCGTGTGTGGGGTGCAGGAGTGGCGTTCCCGCCGCTCTACTTCTACGACGGGGGGGTGAAGGAGTTCCTGCACGTGTTGAAGCACCACGCCATGCTCGAGCGCTCGCTCGACGACCCCAACGTCTACAACGTCAACCAGTCCTTCGACCTCCTGCAGGTGCCCCGCCTCTCCTCGCTCCTTCTCTGCTCATGCCTGCTATGCTCTTCTCTGCTCATGCCTGCTATGCCCTGCCCTACTCTGTCCTTTCAACTACACATTTCATCTCATTTTCCATATCTGTTCCCCTCCTCTCCCCCACGTGTCCTCTCCCCCATGGTGTGAGCAGAGGAGTCTAGCGCAGCTGCATCTCTGGGATCCGCCCTCCACCGAGCCCTCAGAGCCGCCCGCCTCCGCCAATTTCCGCTCCATGTCACTCCCCGCCGCCCGCCGCCACGCCCCACCCTTCCGCCCCTCTGCCCCCCCAGAAGTTCCTGCTGCTGCAGCGGCAGTGGCGAGTGGTGCGGGGGGGAGGGCGGGGGCGGGGGGTCCAGGGAGTTACCGGCTGGGCGAGCGCAGCGCATCGGCGTTTGGGAAACTGGGGGGCAGCAGGGCGCTGGGGAGTGTGAGTGAGGACGAGGGGGAAGGGGGGGAGGACGCGGAGGGCGCAGAAAGGGGGAAGGGGGAGGGGGTGAAGGCGGTGCGGCGGAACAGGCTGCCCCCATCCCTTACTCAGCGCAGCACATCCGTGCCACACGCTGCTGCTGCTGCTGCTGCTGCTGCTGCTGCTGCTGCTGCTGCTGCTGGCGAGGGGGTGGGTGGCGAGGAGGGGGGGAAGGAAGGAGAGGGAGAGGGGGAGGAGGGGGAGGAGGGGGAGGAGCAGCAGTACCCGAGTGAAGCGGAGATGCTGCGCATGCTGGAGGCCGCTCATGCCCTGGCGCAGCAGCAGGCCAAGCAGAAGAGAGGGGGGAGGGCGGGGGAAGCAGGGGAGGCGGGGGGGCGGGGGAGAGGGAAACGGGGAGCAGCCATCGGAGGCGGAGATGCTTCGCATCCTGGAGGCCGCCAATGAACGCGCCCTGCAGGACGCTGCCCGCGCCAGGGCGCTCTCCCAGCAGCACCAGCACCAGCAGCACCACCACCACCACCGGCACAGCACTCACCGCCAGCAGCCTGCTGACGTGGCAAAGGACATCTCCATGCAGGTGCGGGGCGAGCTGCCTGTGCTGCCAGTGCTGCTCAGATCAGAAACACCCCTGGCCAGTGCATGCATGCTCATGCCTCGCCCGTGCCTGTGCCATCTCCCCTCTCCCCCCGCCCTCCTGCCTCTGTGTTCCCCAGGTGCTGGGGGGGTTCTCCGCCGTGACGCGCATGGCGCGTGGCATGCTGGCCGTCGCCCCCGCCGCTATGGGGGAGGCCATGGGCGGGCTGGGAGGCATGGGCGGCATGGGTGGCTATGAGGGGCGGCTGCTGGGCGGCAGGGATGCGGAGGAGCGCATGCCTGCTGCTGACGCATGGGGGGGCGGGTGGGGGGGGGAGGAGGAGGAAGAGGAGGAGGGCGAGAGTGAGGGCAGCCTGAGCCGCCTTACCACCATCAAGGTGCGGTTCGTGCTCTTGGGGGAGGGAATGAGGGATGGGGGGAAGAGGGGAGTGCGGAGTGGGGTGTGATGACATGGTGCGATGAGGTTGTGGCACATGTATGCGCTCATCTTCTCCCTGCATCCTCACTGCATCCATGTGTGTGCGCACGTGTGCTTGTGTGCAGGGGAGCACGGAGGAGAGCACAGGCGTGGGCGAGTTTGAACTGTTGGACGACTTTCAGGTGACGTTGCATGCCCACATGCCACATGCCACATGCCACATGCCACATGCCACATGCTGCACACCACTTGCATCCTTGCCGGTGCTTCTCCTCCTGCTCTTTGCAATCGTGCTCCCTGCATTACATGTACTTACCTGACATCCAACGCTGCATGCCTCCTCGTGTGCCCATGCCCCCTGCAGGACAATTCCTCCTCCCTCGTGCCGCCTCGCCCTCTCCTGCCACCACTCTCCGCAGACGAGGTCGGTTGTGCGCCCTGCTGCCCTGCTGCCGTGCTGCCGTGCTGCCGTGCATATCATCTTATCTTATCCCCCTATGCACTCCCATGTTTATGAATTCATCAACTTCCCGCCCTCCCTTGCCCTGAGCCTGTCCCTGCATCTGCTTCCATCCCCCCCTTGGTGCCCTCCTCGCCATCCCACACCCCGCGCCCCACCCACCAGTGGCGGGGGTATCAGGACAGTGAGGGGCGGGTGAGCGAGGCGAACAGGGAGGCGGTGTTGCAGCGCATCTTCTACAGCGGGATGGACCCACAGCTGCGCTCCCAGGTGCCCCCACTGCCATGCCTGCCACTGCCATGGGTGCATCATGCATGTATGCATGGGGTGGGTGGTACCATGGCACATTGCACACCTCCTCTCCACTGTCCGCATGCCATGCACACATCCCATCTCATTAACCCCATGCCACACGTTCTCATTCCACTCACCCGTGGCCCCCATGGCCCCCACGCACCCCCATGGAGCGAGCAGGTGTGGCCACGCCTGCTGGGCTATGTGCCGTGGGATGCCAGCCACGCGGAGAGGGAGGAGCTGCGGCAGAGGCAGATCACCGCCTACAACTCGCTACTGCTGCAGTGGCAGGTGGGCTGCACTTGGGCTCACAGTGGCCTTTGTCAGCGTTGCTTGCGAGATGTGGACCATTAGAGTTCAATCACAGTACCCCATCTCTCTTCTCTGCTCCCGCTCTCAACGCTCTGTTCCCTCGCTATGTGCACCATCACTCTCTCTCCCCCCATGCTGCTGCCATGCGGTGCAGAGTATAAGTGAGGAGCAGGCGAGGCGGTTCACCAAGTACAGGGAGAGGTGCAGCCGCATCGACAAGGATGTTGTACGCCCCTCCACCCCTCCATCTCGTGCCCGCTTGCGCTTCCAGTTGTTGTGCTCATTAAATGGTCGGCACACCACTTTCAACCTTCTCCTCTGTCGGTTGCACACTCTTCCACTTTTTATGCACCGATTTCCCCTCTTGCCCCGACCTGTCTCCCCAAACTGACCTCTCTCCTCCTGCCACGTCCCATTCACCCTGCACCCTGCACCCTGCCTGCCCCCCCCACCAGGTGCGCACAGACCGGCATCTGCCCTTCTTTGCGGGGGAGGGCAATGAGAATCTGGAGCGGGTGCGCCGCATCCTCATCACCTACGCCTTCTACAACTTCGACCTCGGCTACTGCCAGGTCATTTGCTGCCACCCGTGATTTGCTGCCAGGTGCTGCCATGTGCTGCCAGGTGCTGCCAGGTGCTGCCAGGTGCTGCCATGTGCTGCCTTGCCACCTCGGCTATTGCCAGGTGTTGCTACCTGCCTTGTCGGCTACTGCCTGCCCTGCTGCCTTACATGCTCATGCCAGGTGCCTTGCTGCCGTCATCCGTCCATTCTCCTCATCCTCAACCCCTTTCAACTCCCACATGTGCTGCATAGTTATGCCAGGCATGTGTACATCTTTTTCTCGCTCATGTTCCACCAACCAATTCGTTGCCTCTTCCCCGCCTCCCGTCCCCCTGCCTCCCCTCTCCTCCCCCCCTCAGGGCATGGGAGACCTGTTAGCACCGCTGCTGATGGTGCTGGGGGACGAGGTGGAGGCGTTTTGGGCGTTCACAGCGTACATGGAGACCATGGCGCCCAACTTCCACCGCGACCAGAGCGGCATGCACGCCCAGCTGCAAGCCCTCTCCCAGGTGCATGCACGCCCAGCTCTGTGCTCTCTAAAAGGTGCATGCACAGCACCGGTTGCATGGCTCTCCCCCTTCATCCTCCCCCTCAACCACCGCTTCTTATTCGTTCATTCTCCGGCTGCCAGTGCATGCGGGCCCTCATCCCCCTCTGCTCGCTGCTCCCCTACCCCCCTCCTGCGTGCGCACAGCTCGTGCAGCTGGTGGACCCGCCGCTGTACGAGTACCTGGAGAGCGTGGACTGCCTCAACTTCTTCTTCTGCTTCCGCTGGATCCTCGTGCGCTTCAAGAGGTGCGTCCTCACGTCATGATACAACAGCAGGTACGCCATGCCCACCTGCCCTGCTTGCTGCCTCCCATGCATGCCACATGGAGCACCGGCTCTGCCCACTTGTTCCCCTGGTGTGCCGCGTGCGCCGTTATTGCTCTGCTTCGGTGCTGACCTGCTCTGTGCTGCACGGGAGGGTGGCAGGGAGTTTGAGTTCGAGGATACATGCCGGCTGTGGGAGGCGCTGTGGAGCTGCCACCTGTCGCAGCACCTGCACCTCTTCGTTGCTGCCGCCGTGCTTAAACGCCACCGCCGCCGCATCATGGATGAACAGGTGCGGCCGTAGAAGGGGGGAAGAAGAGGGGGCACGGGGGATTGACTATGTGATGGGGAAGTAGAGGATGCCTGTTGGTGTATGGGGTATGAGGGGATGAGTAGTGCATGACGTTATTGGATCTGCCTAGGTTGACGGCAGGAGTGTTGTGTGATGGCATGGCAGATGGAGTTTGACTCGCTGCTCAAGTTCGCCAACGACCTCAGCTGCCACATCGACCTGGACGCCGCCCTCAGAGACGCCGAGGCGCTGTGCGTCCTGTCCGGGGAGAGGGGGCAAGCATGCATGCCAGTGCCACCACCACCTCTGGAAGAGATGTTTGAAGGGCCCGAGACAGGAGAAGAGGAAGTGGATGACTGAGTATGCACATTGTTTTGATGCACAACTTGTGAATGTATCTGTATATATGTTGTTTTCTTGATAGTCGAACCTTGCTGTTTTCTTCAAGTTTTGCTAATATATACAAGACAAGGTCGTAATGTTCAAAATATTACTTGAAATCATTTATGAATTGCACAGTGTATGGTTTTATACGCCATGCCAAAAGCAAAAGCAGACGGTATTTTGGTTTGCTGAACTAAATAACGAGTCGTGGCCGCTGATGTCAGAGGCGGCATATCAATTCGAGGCGAGGTGCTTCGCGAAACTCACTGAACTCCAAGCACTGCAGTCGCGGTGGTGGTGCATCGGTCAGGAGTTTCTAGGCCCACGTGGATGACTCCGAGGTTGATCTCAAGTGACGTTTTGCGGTTGGCCTCTGGGTGTCACTGGAGCTTTTTGGAGGCAGCTGGCGTCATGCCAGCACCAAAGCACATCGACTTCGCCAACTGCCACGGGAGAATCCCTTTCCGCCACGGGCAGCCAGTGCCATGTCGAAGACTTGCTTGTTGAACACTTGGCGCTGATTGGCCGTAGAGGTGGTAGCTGACGCTGACGCTCCTCCTGACAGGAGTCACAGGCTGCCCGACAAAGTGAGCCCGAGCGGTGTGTGTTTCATCCGCCAACATCTACACTTCCACGACACCCCGCAGCTGTGACACATCGGCAACATCAAAAGCCAACTCAGCAAGCGCCGAAGCTGAGCGAATGGGGAGCCGCAAAGTCAAACGGGTGGTGAGTGGCGCACACTATGGAACAGCTGGTGACACATGTAGGGGCGGTGATGATGGAGCTCCCACTGTGGTTGGGTTGGGTGAGGCACGGTGCGGTCAACGCAAGTCGACAGCGAGTGTGAGAGGCGATGGAGGAGGGAGGTTGGGGTTGGGGAGTTACGGCGGCGCGACTTGCACTGGGGAAAATGGGATGTGGGATGCCGACGGGACGCCGAAGAGAATGCGAATCTGACTCTGAACCTCAAGCTTCTTTATCCATGTCAACTGTAAAGCGTCCACTGACAAATGTTCCTAGTTATCCTGGACTCGCTACTTGATATTCACAAAAGCCGCTACATAACGCGTCATAGGACATTATTCCGCTCAGTTCACGGATTCCGGTAGTACCCTATTCAACGCTCTGCTTGACTCCGAGGTGCAGCAACATACAACAAGAGACAAACCACCATCTTAATCTCTACCGTAGCCTCTTTTCGGATCTGCATTCATGGGGGCAGCAGCGTGCGAGTATGGAAGGAAAGGAGGGCCGCAGGAGGCGGTGGTGGAGATGGGGCCGTACAAGACGGGTACGGTGCAGTGGCAACGCACGCTCAAGTCGCAGATGCAGGCGTGGCGCGACGACCCGCACTGGCACGACGAGACGCCCACCGTTAAGGTCCGCCACGCTCCCAGCGCCTCGTGGCCCCTCGCTCGCACGTCTTTCATCCCGCGAGGCTCCTTCTCAATCTTCTCTGGTGCTCCCCCTCATGTGCGCATCGTCCCCGTCTCTCCCGTCAGCTCGTGCGCCACTCACTCACTGTCTCCTCCCCCTTCTCCCCCGCGCGCGCACAGGTGTCAGCTCCCAAGGGCGCATTCTGCCAGATCGACTCGGAGGTGACGATGGCGCTGCCGCCCGACGCGGTGTACAACATCCTGTGCGACCCGTGCAACCGGCGCGTGTTCAAGAACATCCGCGCCGTCACGTACCGCCGCGTGTTGGAGGACGACGGCGACCGCCAGCTCGTGGAGGTGGAGCAGTCCGCCGTCGGAAAATTCCTCATCTTCTCCGGCTCCTGCGACGTGCGACTCTTCGTGCGACAGGATCGACTGAAACACACGGTACGTTTCTCTGCAAATCCGTGAGCTCACGCGGAGAGCTCCAGCTACTTTGTGAGAGTGGTGCATCCTCCTGATCCCTGTGCGCGTACAGTGTTCGATTCCATGCCCAGCGCATGCTAAAATCGTGTATTCCCTCTCGTCGCTCCGCAGATGTCGTTCGCGATCGCGCGGCCGGGCTTTATGCGACGCTTCGAGGGCTCGTGGCAGGTGGACCCGCTGCCCGTGCCGTGCTCGCGACACGCGCAGGCCATGGCCGCCCGGGAGCGCGAAGCTGCGCGTGGTAAGGGCAGAGACACGAAGGGAGATGGGCGGTTCGGATGGATAGGTGGGGAGATGGACAGGGAGGGTGACGTGTTCTTCGACGCCAGTGACGTGTTGCCGGAAGAGGCAGACTCAGAGGAGTGCTGCGCGGATTGCCAGATGCGCATGGCCTCGCGCGTGCGCCTGCAGCAGGTGATTCTGCTCGCCATGCCGCCGCCGCCGCCGTTCGACATGCTGGCGCGCAACAAGACGGCGCACGAGGCGAGAGACATGCTCACGAGCTTCATGGCGGAGGCGCGGCGGCTGAGGGAGGCGCCCTTCCCCATCGCGGACGGCCACACTGCCTTCCCCGACCCCGCACCCGTGCCTGACATGGCCGCGCCCGCTGAGAAGCTGCAGACAGAGGAGTCCTTTCCACCCCCTCCGCCTCTTGTGAGACTGGATTCGCACGAGGAGGGCGAGAGCTCTGGTGAGGATGAGGAAGAGAAGGTGCGAGTGGGGGAGCAGGAGAAGCAGCAGGAGGTAGTTGAGAGAGCAGTGGAGGTGGGAGGAGGGCGGGGCGTGGAGCCCCACGAGCTGCACTTGAAGAGGGACAATGGCTTCCGTGCGATCAGAAGTGCTGCCTTCCTGCACAAGGAGGTGCTCAAGAGCCCACTGCCTCGCAAAGAGTGCAACTGGGTGCCTGTGAGGAGGGGAATCAAGTGTTGAGTTCCCCGAAATACTTCACACTTTGGCTTTGTGCCAAATAGGCATTGCCAAGTGGACAAAGAAACGCTGCCCTCAAGGGCTGCTTGGACTTCTGTACATAATTCTATACTGTTATTTGTGATTTCATTGTATGAAGTTGTGGACTTTGCTGTGTTTGAGGAACTGTACAATTAGACACCAGCTCGAAATTGAGACTTGCTGACTTTCCAAGAACAAGCTCTGCGATTGGCAGTCCAGCCCCTTCCTGTCAGGCCGCGTGGCGCCACGCCAGCAAGACCCCACAGGTCAGCAGCATGTCACGCAAGAACGTGCCCATTCTAGCTGAATCCGCGCGCCAGCCCCTGCCGTGCGGGAATGCCCCTCCCCAGCGTTGCATGTTGAGTTGAAATTGCAGCAAGATTGTGTTTCCAGTGGTTCCCTTGTCTTCTATCGCTATGATCGCGTAAAATAGCCATCTAGGTACGACAGAAGGCGAGCAGCTCACGTCCCCTAGCACCAGTCTCTCGAGTTGTTGTGGGCCAGGGAGTCAGAACAGCTTTCGGTTCATCGAGAGTCCCACGTGGTTGAGGCAGCAAGCACCACTCAAGGAAGGCGATCCACGCGCGTCTTTGACTTCGCAAATCTGCACTTGCTGTGTCTTGCGTTCAGAACTAACAGCACGCAGGGCAGGATACGTAACGCGCGCACCATCTCCCACGCAAGCCACAGAATTTGCGATCCGGGAGACATTTTCGGTGAGCGGCCATGGAGGCAGGGGGGACGGGGGAGGGTGGTGACGTGAAGGAAGAACCAGTTGCGGGATTGCCCGCACCCGCCGCACCAACCGAAACTCCCGCCGCAGTAACCGAAACTCCCGTCGCATCAACCGAAACTCCCGCCGCGCCAACCGAATCTCTCTCCGAACCTAGCGAAACTCTCGCCGCACCAATAGAAACTCCCGCTGAACCTAGCGAAACTCTTGCCGCACCAACAAAAACTCCCGCCGAACCTAGCGAAACTCCCGCAGAACCATGCGAAACTCTCCCCGAACCTAGCGAATTTCTCGCCGCACCAACAGCAACTCCCGCCGAACCTAGCAATATTCTCGCCGAACCTAGCGAAACTCCCGCCGCCGATGGCGGTGAAGGCACGGACGCTGTGGCAGGCGACGGTGACGTGGAAGAGAAGTTCGAAGACGCGACGAGCGAGGAGCCGGCGGCGCTGGTGATGGACGAAGAGAGCCTGGCGCGGCAGCGGGAGTGGGAGCAGGCGCACCACGCCGCGGAGGCGCAGCGACAGGCGGAGGCGCAGCAGAAGGAGGAGGAGGCGGTGGTGCAGATGGACGGGTACCGCGAGGGGCGCATCTTGTGGCGCGCGGAGCTGGAGCGGCAGATGCGCGCGTGGCGGGACGACCCCGAGTGGCGCGACGAGGCGGCGCAGCTGACGGTGTCGACGCCCAAAGGCACCTTCTGCCAGCTGGACTGCCAGGTAACCCTGGCGCTGCCGCCCGACGCGGTGTACAACACGCTGTGCGACCCGTACAACCGGCGCGTGTTCAAGAACATCAAGGCCGTGAAGCATCGCAAGGTGTTGGAGGACGACGGCGACCGGCAGCTCGTGGAGGTGGAGCAGTCCGCGGCGTGGCGCTTCCTCGTCTTCTCCGGCTCCTTCGACACGCGCCTCCTCGTCACTCAGGACCGCGCGGAACGCACGGTGCGTTGCATGCGCGAGGAGACGTGGGCGGGCGACGGGGAGAGTAGATGGAAAGCGGAGAGGAATTCCATTGTCTTTCACGTTGCCCGGGGCTCTCACGCGTCTGCTGCCGTCTCACGCGCCCTCCCACCCCTTTTCTCCCTCCTTCGCCTCCCGCCCTTCGCCTTCCCCCCATCCCCCGCACAGATGTCGTTCAAGATCGCGCAGCCGGGGTTCATGCGGCGCTTCGAGGGCTTCTGGCGCGTGGAGCCGCTGCCTGTACCGGGATCCGCGGACATGCGCACGGTGGGGGAGGCGGAGGGGAAGGGCGGAACGGAAACAGCAGAGAAGGGCAAAAGCGCAGCGGAGGGGACAGGGAAGGCAGGAGCAGCGGAAGGGGAAGCTGGGGGGGGGGCGGAGGGCGGCGAGTTTGAGGATGCGCGGGAGGCGTTTGACAGCAGACCCGCTGGGGAGGCAGGCGCTAGTGAGGGGAGCGCAGGTGGAGAGGGCACAAATGGGGAGGGTGCAAGTGAGAGGAAACCTGGACATGGCGCGCGCATGGCGTCGCGCGTGCATCTGCAGCAGGTGGTGCAGCTGGCGCTGTCGCCCCCGCCCCCCCTGGACTACTACGTGCGCGGCATCACAGCCCAGGTGGTGCGCGACATGCTCGGTGACTTCCAGGCCGAGACCAAGCGCGTGCGCTACGGGGGCGCGGATGACGATGGGGAAGGGGATGGGAAGGCAACGCAGGAGGGCGTGGGCGGGCGCATTGCGCGCATGAGTGCTGCTTTCCTGCACCGTGAGGCGCTGGGGGGGAAGAGCGGCAAGGGGAAGGGGATGGGGTGGGGGAAGAAGAACGGTGCGAGGTAGCGAGCAGGTGCGGAGTTGTAGGGGCGAAGACATGGATTGCTTGTGGCTGCTGCATGCTGCAATCGTGGCCACTGGTGTTAGTATATGGTTAGTAGAGATGCAGATGCTGCGCTCTGTATATCTTTGTAGCTAGTCAGTTAAGATTCACTGTACGATAATTGTCACATACAGATTATGGATTACAATACCCGTACAAGCTTGGTGGGAGAATCTTCCTGAATATGAACCAGCCTAGCAGGCAGTACGGTAGTTGGTGTCAGCCAGGCTATGCTGAGGTTCTCCTGTGGTGCTTGCAAGCCATCCACCTCATGGCAGCACAGCAACACAGGCATGCATGCATGCACGGGCTGCCAGTCCCAGGGTTTCATGGCTCGCCCATCATCCATTCCACCTCCTCTCAACTCACGAGTCGCGTTACTCGCCCCCCACCCGCACCTCACGCAGCAACGAACTCCCCAAAGTCATCTGTGTCCTCCCCCGCTGCTGCTGCACTGCCAGCGCCCTCACTGCCTCCAGAGGTTGCAGGCATGACGGACTGGGGCGCGGAGGTGACAGAGGCAGGCGGGTCGTCGGATTGGAACGCCCATGCGATGGAGGGCGAGGGGGCTGCTGGGGGGAAGGAGCGCGCAGAGAAGGACGTGGAGGGAGGGGAGGAGGGCGACGCGGAAGGAGGCGAGGAGAGGCGCGCCGGGGGAGGGGGAGGGAGGATGGGGGGGGAGGCGCCTGCGGTGGTAGCAGCTGCGGTTGCATGCGGTGGGGAGGAGTCAGCAGCGGCATGGTCCCCTGAGGCTTGGCGCATGGGAGCAGAGGCGTCAGGGGCAGGGAGTGTGAGGGAGGGCGACTTGAAGGCCACGTTGCCCGGCGTGGTGGGCGACAGCGGCAGCCCTGCTGTGCTTGGCTTCGCCCGTGCCGGCTGCCATGGGGGTGGAGGGAAGGGGAAAGGGGAGGGGATGCACACACAGCAGTGCGTGTAAGCAGAGTGAGCAGCACGGGAGGGACTATCAAGCTGTCCTCCCCATTTTCTCCCTTCAATGACCTGCCATCAACCGCCCTCCAATCCCCTGCACTACCCCTCCTCCTTGCACCATGCATCCCCCACTGTACGTCCACCCTCACCCTCAACCGTCACGCCCAATCCTCCATCCCTTCTGCCCCTGTCCCCACCCTTCTCCCCATCTCTCGCGCACCGTTTTGATGTCGAGGTGCAGCTTCTGCCCCTCCTTGAGGCGGTAGTCCGCAGCGGGCCGCGACTCAAACGCCTGTCCCATGCGGCGCGCCTCCTGCTGCTTGTGCACGTACTTGACATGGTCGTACACCGCCGCCTGGAAGTCATACGCCGCCGTGCGCTCCCGGAACCCCAACCCTATGAACGCATGCCTCACCACCGGTGCCGCCGCCGCAGCGGGCTTCCCAGCCTTGCTAGAGGAAGCAGAGGAGGCAGAGGCTGCAGAGGCAGTAGAGGGAGGGGGCGGGGAGGAGTCTTCGATGCGCAGCACGAAGAAGCGGCTGCTGTCGATGACGGCCTCCAGGGGCAGCGGGTGGTTGGGCCGCACGGGCGCGTGCGCGAAGAGGTCCCCCGAGGCGGCGTCGAGCAGGCGGATGCTGCAGTGGTCGCCGCGCGACACCACGCTGATGGCGCCCTCCCACGCCCACCTGTTTATGTCCCACTCGTCCGCCCTGCACGGGGTGGCGGAGGTGGGGGGATCAATGGAGAGGAGCAGGTAAGGGACGAGGAAGGGGGGAAGGGGGGAATGGAGTGAAGGTGGGAAGCGTGGGTGGGGCGATGTGGTACTGGTGCGAGGGCGCATGCATGCAGGGGTGCGCGGGGGAGATTTGCTTGTCAAATGATTAGGCAGTAAAGGGCGGGGTGGGTTGTGAGGGGAGAGAGGGGAGTGGGAGCAAGGATGGTGAAGCGGTAAAGAGACTGGAGTGAGGGGAGCGAGAAGAGTGCGAGGAGTGGGAGTGAGGGGAGGGAGGGGAGTGAGGGAGGGTGCGCGCACCTGTACGACGCTGCTGTCTTGCGTGGGGGAATCTGGTGCCGCCTCGTGGCAATGGGGGATCAGCACCCGCGGGGAGCGCGAGGGAAGGGGACGGGAGGGCAGGGAGGGGAGACGGGACAGGGGAAAGGAGGATGAAGGTGACGTGAAGAGTCAAGGGGGACAGGGAGGGGAGCTGGCAGCGTGGAACGCGCGGCATTGTCGACGCGACTCCAAGGCCGCTGTGGCGCGGAGGGGGCAGAAATGGCTACGCACGTGTCCGCACGCTGCGCGGACTATTTCAAGATTCCTCACTAGGCGCGTCGCACAGCCCGTGCGACGTACTTGCGTTACGCCATGCGGTGGTGCCGCCTGCTCGCGACTCGCCTGAGCGCAGAGCCACCGCACGAATCATAAATGCGCGGAAGCGGGAAGGAGGATGGGTGACGGTGCGCACCTTGTACACGTAGCACTCCTTGAGGTGGAATAGTACCACCTCCGTCTGCTCCACGTCATCCAAATCATCCACGTCAGCACCGCCGCCTGCGGGCTTCCCGTCTGTCGCATCCGCCACCGCGAGTCGCGCCATGTCTTGCTCCACTCCCGCCTCTTCCGCCGGCGATCGCGCGGTGGCACTTCCCGCGTCCGCCATCCCAGATACCTCCGACCCGAACAATCCGAGCTCACTCCGCCAGTTTTATTTCCTATCCTCCTGCACGACTAATAGCTTCGATCTTGAACAAGTGCTTCAATGGCTCGTCCGCGTGCCGAAGCGCTGTATGGAAAGTTGTATGTGTCAGTACTAGGTGGCTGGGGGAGACTGTTAGAGTGGTGTGCGTGCAAAATGCGAATCTTCCAGAAAACTGTTCCCAAGGGCTGTTGCGGGAAAACGCTGCTTCGCTAAGAGACCAGTTCGCCCCAGATGCGTTGTGTGGGGTGCATAGGATACTTGAGAACAAATAATAATTTCATCTTGTACCTTAATCATCAATATTTCTGAATGTGCTTCTATCAGGCTTCATGCTATCTACATTCTCAACGGCAGCAGATTTTCCCTCTACCGAAATTGCCTCCTCTGTGGCTGTGCGGGTGTCTTGATGCACATCATTACTGTCAGCAGCATCTCCTGCATCACCCGTAACTGCAAGACGACCATCATCTGCATCCACGTGGACATGTGGTGGTGCCGCCTGCAGCACTGCCCACGCCCCTCCGCCCGTGCCCACTCTGCATGCCGTTACCACCATGTCAGGGAGGGCATAAGGCATGGGAGGTGCAAGGCATGGAGGGCGTAAGGCATGGGAGGTGCAAGGCATGGAGGGCGTAAGGCATGGGGAGCGCAGGGGGCAAAGCATGAGGTGGAGCAGACCATTGATGGAGCAACGCAAGCATGTGGTGGCTGACCTGAGAAAGCCGGCGAACATGCGGGCGGCCATGAGGAGAGAGAGGCCTATCCACACACCCTCCACGCCCCACTCGCTCGGCGCATACACCAGCACCGCCGCTGCTGCTGGCGCCAGCGCCATCTGCAACAAGTAAACCAACGAACGGGTCATTAGAGAGGGATTCAACGAATGTGCATTGAGCAGAGAGCATGGGTCCGGGAGCACAAGGCTGGTGATGATGGCAAGACAGCAGCGCACCATGGCGAGGGCAGCGAAGGCGAAGTCGGTGGCGCCGTAGTGCAGCCCGTCAAACACAAACGCCATGCTCGCCAGGGGCTGCATGGCCGCTGCAAACTGCAGTCAGGGAGAGGGGACACAGAGAGGAAAGCTCATGGGAAACAGTGAGTCGGGAGCAATGGCTGCTTGGTGGTGAATGGAACCAGTTTGCGGAGGGAAAAGAATGGAAATTCTCAGAGGCAAGAAGGCTATGTCTCACGGGCATGAGGGCGACAGCCTGCAGCAGCACACGGTCATCCGAGGTGAAGAGCGCTGGCAGCAGCTGCGCTGACAGTGAGAGCACCACCCCCATCACCGCCCCCATGCCCAGCCCTATCTGCCGAGCACACAGGGGAGGAGGGGATGGGGTTGCACGCGTGAGAGCGGTGGATGAAGTGCCGGGAGGAGGGTGATGGTGGGTGAGAGCAATGAATGAGGTGGTAGAAGGGCGGGGCTATGAATGACAGCGATAGTGTGAGTGAAGAGGCGATGGTGTCACAAGCGAGAAAGAAGGTGCTGGCATTCGCATTGGTATTGGTGCGTGCAGCATGTGGTGCGTGCAGCATGTGGTGCCTTTCCCCCTAGCCTCTTACCTGCAGCGATCGCAGCATGATGGCTCGCACCATGGCCGTGTCGTTGCGTGCAAAGGCTGATGCCAATAGGGTCTGATACACATGGCGCCACACATGCCATCACACATGCCATCACACATGCCATCACACATGCCATCACACATAACATCACACATAACATCACACATGAGCACATAAGCACATGCATGCACACGAGGGAATGCACACAGGAAAAAATAAACTATTATGTGAGAACAAATGTGTGCACGAAATCAGTCCTCAAATTACAAAATACCCTGAAAAACCACCTGGAAAACCACCTGAGGATCCACCTGGGCGCACCTGAGCAGCGAGGGCAACGGAGTCAGAGAGGAGGGAGGCGGCGAGGCAGAGCTGCAGAGCGAGCTGGTGTGCCGCCATGGGCACCGCCCCCTGCCTCGCCGCCATGCTCGTCCCCACCGCCATCGCCCCCAACAGCGCCACCGTTCGCCCCAGTAGCAGCCCTCCTGGAGGGAGGATGCACGGGGAGAGGGCGGAGTGCAGGGTTGAGAGGGAAGACGCCTGGCAGACGGGGGAAAAGGGAGATGGGGGAGCAGATGCACGATCACATGCACATGCTGATGCTGATGCGCTGGTGCTGATGCGCTGATGCTGATGCGCTGATGCTGATGCGCTGATGCTGATGCGCTGATGCTGATGCGCTGATGCTGATGCATGCAGATGCGAACTCTGTTGTGAGTGGCAGGGCTCACCGGACTTGAAGAAGCGGTGGAAGGAGAGGAGGGAGAGCGAGGGCGGGATGAGGTGCACTGTGGCACTCAGTCGCAGCAGCAGCCACCCCGCCATGCCGTACTGTGCTGCCACCGTGGCCGCTGCAGCGCCGGACACGCCGAGCCCGCAGGAGAAGATGAGCAGCGGGTCCAGCAGGATGTTCACCACGTTGCCGCTCACTGCAGAGGGCAACGGGTGGGTAGTGAGGGTGAACGAGAGCGGATCCAGGGATGGCCGTTTGTTCCCCAGACGCACAGGCTGTGCGAGTCATCTCCTCTGCATTCCTCTTCCCGAACAACTGACACGCCCTTGTCACTTGGAACGCTCTTCGCACCTGAAGCACGCGTGCGGGTGAAGGGCAAAGCTCACCGGAGGCAGCGAGGGGCTCACCGGAGGCAGCGAGGGGCGTGAGCGTGTCCTTGAGGCCGCGGAAGACGCCCTGCGCCGTGAGGAACAGCACCACCGCGGGCGACCCCGCCGCCCTCACCTGCAGGTACTGCAGCGCGGGCGCATGCATGGGGGATAAGGGCCCCACGCCCATCACCCCCAGCAGCGGCGCCGCCGCCACCGCCAGCAGCAGCGCCTCTAATGCGCCGAGCACCACGGCCATGAGCAGCGCCGCTGACACCGACGGCACCACGGGCTTGGACGCGGGCGGGGGGGAGGCGGCAGAGGTAGAGGAGGCGGATGATAGTGAGGGCGAGCCGTGTAGCTGCTGCGGGTGATGTTGCACGTGGCGTTGGTGCGGTGGGTGATTGAGGAGGTGTTGGTGCGGTGGGTGATTGAGGAGGTGTTGGTCCATGGCGACGAAGGACGTGGTGATGTTGAGCAGCGGCACGTTGAGCACCTTGGACACCACGCCCACCACCGCCACCGCCACCCCCACCCCCCCCAGCTCCTCCGCGCCTGCCACGCGCCACACACGGGGGCAGGGGAGGAGGAGAGCGGCAGAGTCACGGGACCCAGAAAGGATGGGTCAGCTTCTACCATGCCATGTCATGCCATACCGTCTAGAATGACAAAAGAGGAAATTATTTGTGGAAAGCATGTCCGATCCCTTATTCTTTGATTAGCTATCTTTCTGCCCCATCGCTGACTAACAACCCGTTTCATCGAAAGAACTGCCCTCACCCATCTGCTCTCACCCATCTGCCCTCACCCATCTGCCCTCACCCATCTGCCCTCACCCATCTGCCCGATGTAGAACGTATCAACGAGCGACGCGACGGGCTCGGCGGCGAGCGCCAGCAGCGCCGGCAGCGCGATCGCCGCCATCTCCACGCCCAGCGCATCCGCGGAGTAGGCGGACCTGCAGCGGGGGGGACGGGCACGCGGGCCTCAAGGGGGATTGAGGGTGGGAAGGGGAACGGGCATGAAGATTATTTCCAGTTTCCCTCACTCTCTCCCCCCCTCACAATTTCTCCAACTTCAACCTCTCTCTCCCTCTCACTCACTATCCCTCTACAGTCACACCTACTCTCTCCTCTCCCTCTCACCGTGCATCGCGCCAGAACAGTATCGCGCCCTCCAAATACGACCCGCCTCCCCTGCTGGTCTCCGCCGCACCACTCCCCACACCATCCCCCAATCCCGCGCGGGGAGCCACGGCGCCGCGATTACCGGAGCGGCAGCGAGGTACTGCCGCGGCGGTGCGAGCATAGTCTGTACCCCAACCAACTCTTCCGCCTGCCAGGCGGTCACACGACGCGCGCAGCGCTATCTTCGACTGGTTGCTGAGAACCCCCCGTCGGCACGCGAATCTGCGAGGGAGGCATGATCCTGCGCGAGTGGAACTCGCCGGGCTCCGCTGCGCTGATTCATAGCGCGCCGATTCAAGGAGCGGCGGAAGCATGGAGAGCGCCCATCCGCGCCCATGGATGCTTCCTGCATCCCTGCCAGCCCGCACCCAAGGCACGGCTTCAGCACCTGGTATCATCTGCAAGTCCGATCATACAGATCAGCAAATGCATGAAAAGGTTTCAGTAATATAACAGAAATAAATAGCAACAAGATAACTGTAAGGCATCCGTTGTCGTCCAGCCTGGTTAGGATACCTGGCTTTCACCCAGGCGACCCGGGTTCAAATCCCGGCAACGGAGCATTTTGCCGTGGTCTAGGCCTTCATGGATGATAAAGCTAGCTTGTTTTCCATAGAAGGATGGCTGTGCTACTCCCATGCCAATTTTGAAAGTATGGTAATGCCCGGGCATGGCAACGCTGCACAGCCCAACTTGTTAAAGCTCGCGTCTCAGATTTCCAACCTTTTAACACTTGGTTGGGTTTTCCCGTCTGTGATTGGGTAACGAATGACGAATTATTTGACGAGTGGGTGAAAAAAACACAGCGAACTCCCAAACAGTCGAGGCCAAAACAAACCAGGGTGGGTTGGTTTGGGTGGAAAACGAGCCAAGGGGGACAGGTTTGGTCCCGGGTTCTGTCAACGTTGAGTTCAGAGTCTCATATTTTCGAGAGTTGTTAACACTTGGTGTGCACGGGGAAGTGTGCGACAGCCAACTTTCCCAACCCACCCCTTGCTTTGGTGTGCTTTGCGACAAACTCTGCTGTTACCGGATTCCAACCGTTTAACACTTGGTTGGATGGCAGAAATATGAGACGCGAGCTTTAACTCAGCCCCTTCGATTGTATAGTTCGCTTGGCTGCTAACGAGTTGCCGGGGTCCAATTGCAGGAGCGAAGCATTTGCTCGGTAATGCAATTTGCTTCCTTGGATACCTGATTTCATTACAAATCAGCGTCTACAATCTCAATCACCCCCCGTGCATCCACCTTCCACAGCGGTTTACGAGCCACCACCAGGTGCTCTCTGCTGCTGCCCTTCTCTGGTGGGTGGGCCGTCACGTTCCAGTGTGCTGCCCTCGCAGCCCTCTGCACGCCCTCCAGCACGGCCGGCAGGTCTCTTATAATCACTGTGCCTCCTGGTCTCAAAAGCCGGTCCACCTCTATAATCACGTCATCTATATCACATCGGTCCCTGTGGAGTGGCACGGAGGGGGTTGGGGAGAATGACAAATTAGAAACCTTTCCCATGAAATGAAAGATGTGACACGCTATGTGCTTCGTGCTCCATCTCTTCCCAGCGAACAATGCCTCGCCTCCAACGGCAGCAGGCAGGGCAGCGGCACTCACGGGTGGAAGGAGGAGGAGACGCCTTGCCAATGCACGAGGTCGTATGCGCGTGGGTACGACGAGAACGCCTCACACCAGTCATGCAGCGTGCCCACGAGCCCGCGGTCAAACACGGCTGCCAGGGTGTTGAGTCTACTGCTCAGCGGCACCACGTTCATCACCCACACTCGCTCCTCCCCGTCCTCCTCCCTCCCCTGCAGCGCCGCCGCAAACGACCCCACCCCCGCATTCATGTCCAGCACGTTCCGCACCTTCCCCGGCCTGCTCTCCTCCTTGCTCCTCCCCTTCTCCTCGCTCTTCTCCCCCTTGGCCTCCCCACCGTCCCCCTCAGCGCCCTCGCGGTGCTTCCGCCGGCCCTGGTAGCCCAGCAGGTCGCCCAGGAACAGCGACTCGTAGTGCGCCAGGCGGGTGCCCCAGCGCCGGCTCTCCATGTTCATGCGCTTCTGCCGCGGCGACAGTGCTGCGAGCGCCGTGCCCTGCCGCTTGCTGTACTGCGATGTTGCTGCGTTCATGAGTGACTTCTGCTGCTCCGCCTTCAGCGCCTTGCGCATGTCGCCCTCCTCCCCCTCCTGCCCTGCCGCTGCTCTCTCAGTCCTGTCTGCCTCACTTCCCCCTCCCTCTCCTCCTCCTCCCCCTTCCCCTCCTCCCTCTCCTCCTCCTCCCCCTTCCCCTCCTCCCTCTCCTCCTCCCCCTTCCCCTCCTCCCTCTCCTCCCCCTCCCCCTCCTTCCCCGCCATGAGCAGCACCACCAGCGCCATGCACATCAGAGCTGAGCAGTCGCCGCCCACCAACACCACCAGCAGCCGCAGCGGCAGCAGCAGCAGCAGCAGCAACAGGGGCCTCAGTGCTGCTGCTCTCCCTTACCTGCTCCACAGCCTTATCCCCCCCCTCCTTCAACCCACTTTTCTCCCCCTCTTTCGCCCCGTTTTCCTCGCCCTCTTGCATCTCCCTCTCCCCATCTGCGGACCCCTCACTCTTCATCTCATTCCCTCCTTTCCCACTCCTGCGCTTCCCTCCTTTCCCCCTGCCTTTCCTCCCCGTGCCTTTCCCTCTCCTTCTCACCTTCCCCTTGTCCTTCTCTTCCCCCTTTCCCCCAGCACCCCCCTCCACCGCGTTGGGCGGCGGATCTGTGGGCGGGTGCATGAGGGGGGAGTCGTAGATGCGGGGGGAGGCGAACCACAGGCGATGCGGCCAGGGGGGGAGGCTCCACGCGGAGGGGGGAGGGCGGATGGCGCAAGGCTGCAAGGGGGAGTACCTGAAGGGGGTGGGTTGGGAAGGAGGGCCGAGGAAAAGGAGAAAGCAGATAGGAGTCGTTGAGGAAGGGGGGCTAGTAGGGTGGGCGCGGGGCGAGGGTGGAGGTGCAGCGTGCATGATCGCAGTGGGGCGGGTGGGGGGTAGGGCGGCGGCATGGCAGGCAGTGGCAGGCGGTGGCAGCAGGGGCACGCACCACACGGCGTCGGGCTGGTCGTCCGCCGCACACACTTCCGCGCCCATCTCGCCCTCCCCTCCGCCCGCCTCCTCCTCTCGCTTCTCCTCTCCCTCCTCCTCCCGCTTCTCCTCTCCCTCCTCCTCCCGCTTCTCCTCTCCCTCCTCCTCCCGCTTCTCCTCTCCCTCCTCCTCGCCTGTTACATCACTCCCTAACTCCTCCCTCTCCGCCCCTCCTTCCGCCCTCTCCCCACCTCCTTCCTCCCTCTCTGCCTCTTCCTCCTCTCTCTCCGCCCCTCCCTCCTTTCTCTCTGCCCCTCCCTCCTGCGAATCCTCTACCTCCTCCCTTTCACTGCCTCCCTCCTTCTCCCTCTCCCCCGTTCCGCCCCCCTCTTGTTCCGCCTCTCTATATTCCTTGGCTCCAGGACACCATCTTCTTTCCCCCCCGCTTCCCCCGCTTCCGCCCGCCACCTCAACCCCCCTGCTCTTCCGCCAGATGGCTACGTGCGGCACCACCAGCACCAGCCGCCAGCACAGCGCGCGCGCCTTATCGCGCAGCGTGCGCCACTCAGCCGCCCTGCCCGGCCAGCGCACGGGCGGCCCCGCCAGCACGAAGAAGCCCCCCGCGCGCAGCACGCGGTCCACCTCGAACAGGTGCGTGCCGTCTGGAGAGAGAGGGGGGGGGGGGGTGTTGAATGGGGGGAGGAGGGGGGGGAATGTGGGGAGGGGAAGGCGGGTGAGGGGAAGGGAATTCAGGGACCCTGCTATTCAAATGCGCAACAAACTTCTCGCGTGCGAGAGCACGAGGGCACTGGATGGGGTGCGCGGGATGCGCGAGAGGCCACGAGAGAGCGCGGGGGTGGCGGCGCACGTACTGGGGAGGCCGAAGGGGACCTGGCAGTGCGAGCAGTGCACGAGGTCGAACGCGAGCGACGGGAACGGCAGGCGCATCGTCGCCAGGATGCCCACCAGCGCGGGCAGCCCGCGCTCGAGCGCAAACTGCGCCTGCCCGCGGAACCCGTCGCGCGGGCCGAGCGACACAGTGATCATGCCCTGGCGCAGCAGCTCCACCGCGAATCCCCCCACCCCCGCGCCGATGTCGAGAGCCGTGCGCAGGCGCGACCCGAACGGAATGAAGTTGCGCAGCTGCGCCACGTACCGCTCCGCGCCGTCCGCTTCGGGCATAGCTGTCAAAGCGTGCGGGAAATGCCATGTGTTGCCACGTAGCTCCATCCACAGGACGTTCCGCGGGTCCTTGAGCATCTTAGAGTGCGGTACGTTGTTCCGCCACACGCTCCATAGGCTATCCGGCCAGGGGGGCGCGCGCTGGTAGCCGGGGGGAGGGGGAATCAAGCAGCGCGGGCGGGCTGAAGGAGGCGGGCAGTGTCGCTCGCGGAAAACGTTGTCTGCGAAGGGAAAGTGGACGGCGATGTTTGGATCGTAGCACGGGATGTGGTGAGTCCAGTTGGACGGACATGGCGGGAAGTATCCGTCTTCTGTGAGCTCTCCGATCGACATCGTCCCAGCCGCCATGGCTGCTGGGTTGCTGCTACTAACCGCCGAAAGCGAGATGAATGAATCATATTGGAAGCGTAAGCGACCGTATGTGGGTGAAGAGACGAGGAAGGAAAGGATGAGGAAGCCGCTAATGCTGGAGAGGGCGACATAGAACGACAGGCGCTTGCTGCGAAGCAGCGAGATGAAAGAAAAGTCTGGTGACTTGGCTGTTCGCATTGCTAGGGCTTGCAGCGCCAGGATTAATCGCCGTAGAATCATCTGGCTGACCTCGGTCGTCGCATCGTATTCCAAGCCTCTAACTGCATCGAGTGGTGCGCCTTATTACGTGTAAATACAGACGCTACTGCGTGAGGTACAGTGTCACAGGACACGGTGCCCACTAAACGTACAGATCTTTCGACGGCGACACGGTAATCGTTATGACCATGAGAGTGGAGCAATTTTTTTAGCTGTGGTCTGGCTTGTGCGTGGGCTCATAATACACGCAGTGCAATATATTCCCCAATTCGCATCCACTTTCTCAGCCGGCTAGTTTTCTCTGGCCCATGCCACTTGTCCTCACAGACCGCCATCTTCGCAGGCGCTTCGCACGTTGCTGTCAGGCCGTGACGTGAATCACCAGCAGCTTCTGAACCAATGCCGTGCCGTGCCTCCCAAAAAATGTCGGCGGGTTCGCCGTGGAAAAATGCTATATAGATATACGCCGATAGAGGCAGCAGATGCATAAATATTTATACCGAGAATGAAAGTGTTTTCTACACAAAATGGTTGATCATCAATATCAAAACTCATCGCTAGCCGTTAGCCAATTTCATTCCTCCCACTCTCCCTAGGTTTCATCAGCACATTGCTGTTGGTACCACCAGTCAATCTGCGTGCCTCTCAGCAGTCATTCGATCCCGTTAGTTGATCCGCCTTTTTTACCTCACCTGCTTAGGCTTTTGAGAACGACTATTCCGAGCCGTCGATTAGGGACGTGGATACAGTATGGTGAGTTTTTGCTGCGGAAAAGTCGAGGTGGTAGATTTCTGATATCTAGGGTTGCTTACTTCTCGTAAATGTCGTCCTGGCAGATTCACTTCGTGCTCCTCATTAGCCGGCAAGGGAAGGTCAGGCTGGCAAAATGGTATTCCGCGTACTCTCAAAAGGAACGGACGAAGGTATGCGCATCCCGTCGCGAACCGTCTGCCTACTTGCTCTCGTGGGTGGTTTCCGAGTGAATTCGTGCGTCCCTAGAAGTTATTTGTGAAGCTAATGTATCAAGTCGATGTCCACATGCCAGATCACGCGGGAGCTGTCGGGAACGATACTCAGCAGACCTGCTAAGCTATGTAATTTCGTGGATTGGAGGGGTTACAAGGTCGTTTACAAGCGGTAAGACTCTTCGACTTCGTGAGCTCGCTTATAACTGCAAGGGAAGCTTACTCTAGCCTGATGAAGTCCGCCATAGGTTCCCTTGCAAGCGAAATTTTGCTTGTCTGCTGAAGTCTGCCAAAAGGTCCAAGTGCTTCAGCCAGCTGACGCTCGTGACGCTGGTGTGGTGTGGGTGTGCATTGCAGGTACGCGAGCCTGTACTTCTGCATGTGCGTGGACATCAACGACAACGAGCTTGAGACCCTCGAGATCATCCACCACTACGTCGAGGTGCTCGACCGCTACTTCACCAACGTAAGCGACGTCTTCTCCCGTATTTGCTCCCATGCCTCTGCTTTCTAGTGCTGCCGTTTACCAATTTACTAGCCTCTTATGGCGGCTCTCCACCTGCTGCTGTCATTCTGCAGGTCTGCGAGCTCGATCTCATCTTCAACTTTCACAAGGTGCGCCTATATTGCACTAGTGGCACTGCGACTCAGTTGTTTTGCAGTTTAGGTCAGGAGGCATTATCTTGTTGTTTTCCAACCCAACCTTCCATCCGATGTGTTTGTGCTCCTTCCAGGCATACTATATACTAGATGAAATCCTCATAGCAGGAGAGCTACAAGAGTCAAGCAAGAAGTCCGTTGCAAGAGTGATAGCGGCTCAGGTAAGCTCCACCCAGTTACGGTACCTGTATTATCTTCACTTGTTGCAACAGCCTTCTCACTGACGCTCCGGTCTGTTTCTCACTCCAGGACACGTTGGTGGAGACAGCAAAGGAGCAGGGTGGTAGTTTGTCCTCCATCATTGCTCAAGCAACACAGTAGCCATGGTTTCCATTCTGTGATTGATACAAACCACCTTCACATGATAGTTTTTTATCCTGTACAGAGTCTTTAACCAGCGATTGTGTTTGTGGAATTTACTTCTAAAAGGTGTGTTCCAAATCCACCCATAACGTGATTGTGGATCTTCCTGCAAAAGGTGTAATTAAAATCGAGTCATGATGTAATGTGACTCATGGAAACCCAAACCCATGAGTAGTGTTTGTGGCGTGTCCTGCACACCATGGTGACATGCATGCCCGAAACGCGTCACCTCGCTGCTGCACTTCATTGCTGAATGTCCGCACATTCATGTTCCTATCTCCCCCCTCGGCCACAGCATATTCTCAGCTCCAGGGCAGTCGAACTCTCCCTAGTACCCTGAGCAAGGCGCGCAGTTGGCGCTGCTGCTCGTTAGGTCGATTTTCCGTCTGTGCGACACCCTGTGTTTCTTGACGCTTTTCTGCTTGTAGAGTCGCGGGTGTGTGCGATCTTTGTGCAGCTTTGCAGTCGGTGCTCTAGATTCCTGGCAGAGTAATCGCAAACACAACGATCATGGGTAGGAGGAACAGAGGAGGAGGCAAGCGAGGGGGGGGCAGCGGCGGAGGAAGCCGGGGAGGCGGGGGCGGGCGGAATGGTGGATCGGCGGGAAGAGGTCGTGGCGGTGCTCCCCACGGCACTGCAAACGACGTCGGAGGAAGACCGAATGATCAAGGAAGATCGGACGGGCGAGGCGGTGCGAACGAGACTGGGGATGGCGGAGCCTCAGGGCGAGGCTTTCGAGGCCGCGGACGCGCCATGGGGGCCGGCCGTGGTCGTGGCCGTGGCATCGGCGCGCAGCCGTCAAATGAAAACCAGAATCCGCGGAGGAATGAGCCTCGGCAGCCGGGCGCTAGCGGCGGCGGTGCAGCGGCAAGCGGACGGGGCATTTACTCTGCGGTGAAATTCGTGTACGAGTATGAAACTGTTCGCGGGGGCGGATATGACACAGGCGACCTTGACGAGGCGAGGGGTTCGGAGCAGAGGGACGTACGGGGGAGGGGTGAGGAGGAGAAAGGAGGAGTTGGAGAGGGACGAGCAGCGCAGGGAGCACGCGGCGGTGCGGAGTGGCGTGGGAGGAAGGCGCGTGGCGTGTGGTTGAGGCTGGCGTGCGGATCCTCGCGAGCTCAAGGTCGGGGGGACGGGAAAGGTCCTACTGGTGGCGGTGGTGCTGGTGTGCATGCAGGAGCAGGCGGGCACAGAGGCCTTGGGTACGGGTCTCACAGGGCGGAGGTATCGAGTGGTGCCGGGACGAGCGAGGGCGCAGCGAGGACGTTCAGGCCGGGCGGAGTGCTGCGAGGGGACGGCGAGGGTGGGGAGCAGGAGGAGAAAAAGGAGCACGCAGGGGTTGGGGACGACGGAACGGACGGGGGGGATGCCAATGAGAGGGGGGTACAAGGGACGGAGGGGGACGAGGCGATGGTGGTGGAAGAGAAAGTGCAGGGCGGCAAAGGAGGAGGTGATGGGACGACGGCTGTATCAAGTGGCTCACAGGTAGGAGGAAGCAGCAGCGGCGCGGAGAGGGAGGTGGTGGCGCTGCAGCAGCATGTGCCCGTGGTGGGTGAGGAGGAGTGCGGGCGTGCCCTGAGTGAGGTGGGGGAGACAGCTGTGCTGGGGGCAGCAGTGGAAGCAGAGAAGGGCAGGGCGGTGACGGTGCTGCCTGTTTTCTTCGACAGGGGAGGCTCTTCCACTAGTAGCCACGCACCGGCTCAGCCGGGCTTGGATGCAAGGGGTTCTGCTGCTGCTGCTGCTGCTGCTGCTGGCCCCGTGAGCCTGTCTAAGCATGCAGATGCTGGGTCAGGTGCTGCACCAGGTGGTGCTGTAGGAGCGTGCGAGGTGCTGCCTGTGGTGGAAGAGAGGGTGGGGCTCCTACCTGTTTTGGATGACAGGCAAAAGCGCTTGCCGCTGTCCGTAGGAGCAGTGGAAGCAGCGGAAGTGACGTGTCCTGCAGACGTGGCAGTGCGGTTTGAGAGGCTCCACATGGGCGTGGAGGACATAGGGGCAGACGGGGTGGGTGAGGGGGCGGAGGGAGGGGCGGAGGGCGAGGAGAAGGAGCGGCGAGACAGCAGAGGAGTGCAACAAGGAAGAAGAGGCCAAGGGGGCTCACCAGGCCAGGGAGGCCTAGGGGGTCAAGTGGGTCAGGCGGGTCAAGGGGGTCAAGGGAGTGTAGGACAGCAGTGGGGTGAGGGAGGTTGGCAGCGAGGCAGGGGAAGGGGGCGTGGGGGCAGAGGAAGAGGCAGGGGCGGTGGAGGGAGGAGGGGCAGGGGAGACGAGCAACAAGTGGAGGTGGGGAGCGGGCAGTGGGCGTGGGGCCGGGGGCAGGGCGGAATGCTGGATGGGGGGGTGGAGGACGTGGGGTATGTGACTGTTGGCGGTGTGACTGTATCGACAGGTAGAGGTGTGGGTTGGCGTGGGGGGTATGAAGGGCAGGGGTATGGGGGTGGAGGGAGGCAGGGGCGTGGAAGGGTTGGGGGTGGGGCGAGGGGTAGGGGGAGGGGGAGGGGTGGGGAAAGAGGTGGGGGAAGGAGAGGTGGGATGGGAGGAGAGGGAGAGAGTGAGGAGGATGGTGACAGTGGGGAAGAGAGTGAGGAGGGCAGCGATAGTAGCATCGATGCTGACGTGGCACTGGACTTTATGGGTAACCTGGTGGATGATAGTGATGATGCGAGCATGGGGGAGGGCGAGGCGGACGATACGGATGAGGAAGCGGATAAGGGTGAGGAGGTGGTGGTAATGGAGGGAAGGGTGGCAGAGGAGGAAAAGGTGGAGGAGGAAAAGGTGGAGGAGAAACAAGTGGAGGAGGAACAAGTGGAGGTCGAGGAGGAGGCGGCAAAGGAAGAAGTGGGGGAGGAAGAGGCAGAGGAGGTATTCAATGAGGAGGAGGAGGGCGAGGAGGGCGAGGATGAGGAGGTGGAATAGGGGAACGGGGAAGAAGCAGATGCAGTGGTGGGCGAGGGCGAGAGTGAGAGCGACGGCGAGGGCGAAGAAGGCGGAGTGTGGTACGAGGAGGAGCGGCACACTGGGCTGGGGTACTGCGCTGGTGCCTCCGCGCCCTCTCCCGAGGAGTTCTGGAACCACCTCAAACGCGTCAGGGGCTCGAAACAGGGGGGCCAGGCGGGCGACGGAGGAGGATCGAGGGCAGGCGGGGCGGCAGGGCAGGGCGAAATGAGGAAGGGCAGTGAAGCAGGGGGGCTGGATGTTGGCGTGCATGGGGAGGAGGAGGAAGGTGAAGGGGCGGAGGAGGATGCAGACAAGGGCGAAGGGGAGGAGGAAGAAGAGAGTGAAGGGGGGGAGGGGGAAGAGAGGGAGAAGGAGGAGGAAGGGGAGAGCTCGGAGGGTATGGAGGAGGAGTTGGGCGAGGAGTGGGAGAGGGAGCTTGAGGCGGCCTACCAGAGGGAGCTGGCTCGCCGCCAGACAGCCAAGGGCAAGGGCAAGGGCAAGGGCAAGGGCAAGGGCAAGGGCAAGGGCGCCCCCTCTGCTGCTCCTGCTCCCCCCTGCCCCGCCTCTGCTGCTCCTGCTCCCCCCTGCCCCGCCTCTGCTGCTCCTGCTCCCCCCTGCCCCGCCTCTGCTGCTCCTGCTCCCCCCTGCCCCGCCTCTGCTGCTCCTGCTCCCCCCTGCCCCGCCTCTGCTGCTCCTGTTGCACGGGGCACTGCAGCCCCGACACGCGGCAGAGGGCGGGCAGCGAGGGGAGTGGGAGCAGGGAGAGGAGGGGGGGCGGGGAGAGGAGGAGTGGCAGGGAGAGGGAGGGCAGGGCAAGCAGGAGCAGGAAAGGGGGGAGCTGGGGAAGGAGAAGGAGCAGGAGCAGGGGGTGCGGAGGGCAGTAGCGGCAGGGGAGGGATGGGGCGCGGGTCAAAGAAGGCTGCAAGGAAGGCAAAGAGGGCCCTGGCGAAGCAAACCAAGAAGGCGGCAAAAGGTGGGGGGTGCATCAGTGTGTGGGGGATGGGTCAGAGTGTTGCTGGGGGGGAAGGCGATGAGGGAGGAAATAAATTCTGAGACTAGGGGAGGGGGGAAGCAATGGAAGATGGGTCGCTCTGATTGGCCAAGTAGTTGGGCTGCGTGCCTTGAAAGCCCTCTCTTTTACCTGTATCCTCCCCTTTCTCCCCTTCAATTCCTCCCTTCCTCTCCATCCTTCCCCCCCCCTGCTCGCCGCTGGCAGCGGCGGGCAGCAAGATGGGGCGCAGGAAGCAGGCGAGGGAGCTGAAGCGCATGCAGCGAGCTGTGGGATTCAGCCCCGATGCTGCTGACGTGGACCTCATGCACCTCAACCAGGTGAGCTGCCATGGGGAGTGCGCCTGCCTAGAATCAACCTGACGCTGCTGCGCACAGTGTGTCGGGTCGTACCCTGTCTCTAGGCATCTAGTTTCCAACTCTTCCCACTTGCGCCCTGGGCCTGCCCTTGCCGTGTTCGTGAGCAGGGCATGCAGCAGGTGGCGGTGGGCCGTGTGGACGTCTTTGCGTCGCCTCCATTGACACAGCACCAGTTCTCCATGGTGCGTTGCTCATCACCTGCACCACCAGACAGCAAGGGTCACATGTTCATGTTTGCGTGTGTGCACATGTGCATGCCAGCACTGTAAGGATGGCGTTATGCTAGTATTTTATGCACACATGGTTGGTTGCTTGCATGCAGTCATCTCACAAATGTCCATCCACCATCTCCTCCGTTCACATCCCGCAGGTACAAGGCATGGCGCGCTCATATCGCCTGACCACCACGGTGCAGCAGAGTGGCAAGAGAAAGTATGTGCAACTGCCTTTCTCTCCGTTCACTCCCTCTTCACTGCTTGCTCATCGCCTCCTTCGCCTCGCCTTGCATGCTTGTGTCTCATGCCTGCTTCCTCCCCTCCACCTCTCTCCCAGCACCTCTTCTCACGACCTTTATTCTCTCTCTTTGTGCCCCTCTCCATGATGCCTTGCACATGTTTGGCTTTTTCCGTCTTGCCCTTCAGGATGCTGCTCTTTCGGTCTGGGCGGCACACAGCAGTGCCACAGGGAGATGACATGACTCGATTGGAAGAGGTCTGCTGCTCATTCTGAGGGCCTCTTGTTGGCAGTTTGTTGGGCCTTGCTGGGCACTGCTGTTTTCCTACCCTATGTTCGCTGCATCCCTTGCGTGTTTTCCCAATTCTCTCTGGAACCACGACTGCCACCTCTGCGCCTCCCTTTCGTCCCTGCCTTCCAGATTCTCGGGCGCTTCAACCTTGCAAGAGCCGCTGCCGCAGAGTGTGGTGATGCGAGCAGCGGGCCGGGGCAGCGGGGGGTGAGGAGGAAGGGTGGGGACTACAGAGAGCGGCGGCTGGCTCAGTACATGGATGACATGGATGTGGAGCGAGGAATCGCTGAGATGGAGGAGATGATGCTCATGATGGGTGATGATGATGACAGTGATGAGAACGAGGATGAGGAGGAGGAGGAGTCGGAGGAGGAGGAGGAGGAGGATGAAGATGATGAGAGTGGGGAGGAGGATAGCGAAGAGAGTGAAGAGAGTGATGGGAGCGAGGAGGATGGGGAGATTGATGGGAGTGCTGAGAGTGAGGAGGGTGGGGAGGGTGAGGGAAGCAGTGAGGAGGAAGATGCGTTTCTGGAGTTGGAGGAGGAGGAGTGGCTTGTGCCGGGTGAAGCGAGTCGTGTGTCACGCAAGCAGCGGAGGGCGCAGGCCCAGGCGGGGCTGATGCAGGCACTGGGGGAGCGCTTGCAGAGGGACAAAGCAGCACAGAAGAAGGCGCTGCGGGAGAAGGCGCAGGAGGGGAAGGGGGGGAGGGGAAGGGAGAGAGGGCTTAGCGGAGAGGAGGAGACTCTGTGGCGGAGGAAGGGCGGAGGGCTGGTGCAAGCTGGGGGGGGTAAGGGGAGGCGGGGTGTGCGGGAGGGGAGAGCGGGAAGTGGTTCAGGGAGGCAGGGGTATGCATCGAACCCTGTGGTGTTTGTGTCACGGGGTATCATGGCCACCGATGTGCTTGTAACAGACGGGGGCGACAAGGAGGTGACTGAGGTGAGCGTGACTGTACAGAACGTGCAGCAGTCGGGCTCAGAAGCAGAGGAGGTTTTGGGGGTTCTGATGAGTGAGGAAGGTGCAGAAACGGGTGTGGGTGCGTCCTCTGGTGCGAGCCCTACAGGCAGTGTGGCGGGTGTCACAACAAACGCAGCGGATGCTGCCGCTGCAGCCAGTGTAGGGGCCTCTGTTGCCTTGCAGGGACAGGTCGCTGGTGTGGCCATTGGTCAGGAGAGAAGGACTCTTCAGAGCAAAGGTGGGGCAAAGAGTGGCAGGCAGGGTAACGGAGAGGCAAGAGGAGGCCGACGAGGGCAAGGTGGCAGCGGTAGCGGAGGGAGGAGAGAAAGGGGAGGAAGGGAAGAAGGTAGGGTTGACAGGAGCAGTGTGGGTGGCTGTGGTGTGGCAGCGGATTTTGCAAGTTTTGAGGCGCACACGAGGGGGTTTGGGTCGCGCATGATGGCACAAATGGGTTTCCGCATTGGCTCTGGCCTTGGGAAGGACAAGCAGGGCATTTCCGAGCCTGTGCAAGCTGAACTACGACCCAAGGGTCTTGGACTTGGAGCGCGTATATAGCAGAGCTGGATAGTTTGTGGCTTATCATTGTATGTATAAGGTTGTATTTTTTTTCCCTTTTTTCTTTCCATGAAACGAGGCTGATTCTGCGAGCGTCGCGCGAGGTCTAGTTTGGACTCGGTTGCTTCTCTGGTGTTTCCTGGCTCGCCAGTTGTGAGGCTCAGCCCCTCGTTCCTTGCATCCTATTGGTCACACGGTCCTACTGGTCAAGTCTTCAGTCGCAAGCGCCTACGCGCCTCGCTGTTCTATCGGCCAATATCATAGATACTCAAATTATTCCCGAGCGGGTTCTCAGGTGTAATCACCAACAGAAACACAGTTTCGCGATATAGTAGTAAGTGTTTCTTGTTGTGTTCTGAATACAGTCACTACAGAGAACGCAGCACCTGAAAAAAAAACTTGTAGCGAACCTAGATGAATTTCGAGACAGATCAACCCTAACTACGGGAAGCCGCCTACTTCAGGAGAAATATATTGCACTTTCTTGACCCTTTAAATAACACTTAATCGGAATGGGATGCGACTCGGGAGGCATCAACCCTAAAAACAATGCCCTTTCCCGTGTTTAGGGTTGATCCCTCCCGAAAATTCGCCAGATTCTATAGGGGTTTAGTTTTTCTGCCCCGTCGTAAATTTACGTACTTTAATTTAACAATTCCAGGTCGGGAGGGTAAACTATATAGTTTTGTTTTTGTCACTTCTTAAAGATTTCGACCAGCGTAAAAAATGTGACTAAACAGCGACGACCAATCAAAGTTGAGAATGTCCAGGCTGATTACACCTGAGATCCCGCTCGGGACTAATCTGAGTATGTATGAAGTTGGCTGCTGTTCCATCTATGCGACAAACAAAAGCGATCGTTTTCCTGCGCCAGCGCATGCCGAGCATGCGATGCGACACAATTTGGCAAGATTGGGGAAGGGTAGCTTCTCTCTCCCCCGTCCTGCGACGGACTTTTTCCGCCAACCATCCCTTGGGAAAAGGATTGAATGGCATATGATACCAGTTCCTGCCCGTTCTGAAGGGTGACCAGCCTTGGAGTTTGACGGGACAAAACACGACCCACGCAGCTCCGACCATATTTTACACTTCCGCGTCTCCATGTTCCTCATGGTGGGCTTAGCGTTTAGCGTTTCCAGGATATTCATCTGTGAACTGGATAAGTTACCCAGAAGAAGTTAGGCTGCTCATCAGCCAACACAGCCACCGAAATTCCCAAGGCGAGCCAGCCATCGCTGAGCAACCCTCGTTCTCGCTCACCACATCTCTCTCCTGCTGCCAGCATTTCCTGGCTGCTTGTTCCCTGCACGTCAGTCGCCTGACGCGTCTCGCGTTGTGGCGAAAGACTGATTCTCGTTAGTCGCGGTATGTGTTTATGAAAGGTAGTGATTCAGGTGACTTATTAGAAGTCAGGAATGCTTCATCAGGCGATGTAGTGAGGTATTCAAAATGCTGCTCGTTTCAGTCCTGTATCACTCGAGAGCAGGAACTGCTTCAAATTTCCGATCACTCGTTGAAAGACCGTTTTGACTTTTCAACACACATGATTCACTGGATTCGTACCCTGGATACCAGTAGGAGCAGAGCCCGACAATCTAATGCCATAATGTAGAGGCGTATCATTAGCCGAAGCCTTTTTTTTCAGCTGATAGTTGTTCGGTCTGCTTGTAGTAAGACTGTTCGTATTCTTTATCGAGTCACTCGCATGTCCGCGCATAATCAATGGTGTTAATCCAACATCTCCCGTGGCCACGGTCGCCGAGATCTCAACCTTCACGGTTTCGCATGGCCCCCGCAGTATTTGTTCACCTAACCATTCTGACTGCGATCGTAACCGCTATAATCACCGCTATCCCAACAGGTGAGCCCCTCGTTTCCGGAGACCAGAGTGGTTGGCCGGGCTTGACAAGCAGAGCAGGGATAAAGACACTCGCCTGTACCGAATTCCCAGCCTACTTGGCCTTGCCTTCACCTGCTGCTGTTCTCCGCCACACTTTTCGTTCCCCTTACCCTCATTGCATCCGTGTCTGGTACTTGATCGTTATCCCCTCTCCGCTCACCCCCCTCCATTCTCCAGCCGCTATTCGTCTCCCCGTCACTCGACCGGCAAATCGCAGCCCGTATTCGAGCCGTGACGTACACATTCAGGATGACGATGACGATGACGATGACAGCGACGGAGCAGAGCACCCGAGTCAGGAATCTCCTCTGCCGGAAGCCGAAGAGAGCGAGATTGACAGTGTGGATGAGGAGGATGACCCAGGGGACTCGGAGCAGTTGGACGGCGCTGCGCCGATTAACCGCACCAACGCCGACCCCGGACACGCGGACGACGAGTCAGAGGACGGGGAAAGCGGAAATTCCCCATCGCCTCCGTCTGCGCCTTCGCCTCCGCCAGTGGTGTGCGCGGGGGCGTGCTCGCAGCGGGAGTGGGAGGCGCTGAGTCCGAGCGCGACGGAGGGGCGGTGCGCGTGCGTGCACCCCGCGGAGCTGGCGGTGCGGCTGTCCAACGCCACGGCCGTGGAGATGCACTTCGCATCCTTCGTCCACGTACGTTGCTTCCATGCCGCTTGCCATGTGACGCTTGCCATGTGACGCTTGCCATGTGACGGTCGCCATGTGACGGTCGCCATATGACGGTCGCCATGTGACGGTCGCCATCTGACGGTTGCCATGTGACGGTCGCCATCTGACGGTCGCCATCTGACGGTCGCCATCTGAGGGTCGCCATCTAACGGTCGCCGTGTCACGGTCGTCTGTTGGCAATTGTTGCATAGCACATGCATGTAACACTCATCCGCTCACCCGCCTGCCTTCTCACGCCTCCCCGCGCCCCCCTCTCTCGCCCGCGTGTCAGGACCTGGCGGAGCAGCTGCGCCTGCCCGAGTCGTGCATCCTGCGCCGCTCCCTCTCCCGCACCGACCACACCGCCGCCATCGTCACTCTGCTGCTCCTCCCGCGCTATCAGCCCACCTTCCCCAGAAGCTTCCTGGCGCAGGTCGACTCACGGATGAGGCGGCACGAGATACACCTGGATGCCAGGCTGTACGGGGAGTACTCGCTTGTGGCCCTCTTTCAGCTGCTGCCGCCCCTTGCGCCTCCCTCCCTGCCCGCGCCGTCGCCACCGCCCGTTCCGGCCCCACCAGCCCCAGGCAACAGCGGCAGCAGCAGCGGTGGCGGTGGTGGTGGTGGTGGCTACACCACCAGCGATGCCAGTGGTAACAGCAATGTCGTTGACAGTGCGAGTGGCAGCAGCAGCAGCAGCAGCAGCAACAGCTCGAGCAGCCAAGGAGGAAGCAGCCCTAGCCCGGGGGGGGTAGCCAATTACAGTGGCTCCAGTAGCAATAGCCTTGGCTCTGGCACTGCCACGGGAGGGGTGGGCGCACAGGCACAGGCAGGCGGAAACAGTGCAGGGGAGAACAGTGCAGGGGAGAATGGGAGCGAGCAGCAGGGGATGAGCGTGAACATGGTAGTGCTGCTGGTGGTGGGTGCGGTGGCAGTAACTGCAGTGGGCGTGGGTGCCCTGCTCTACTGCACTTGGATGCCTCGCCGCACCGTTGATCCAAGTACGTCACATGCAATGTGCCCGCATGCACTTGCTATCCCCTGCATGGTCTTGTCTGGAGACTCAACTCCTTCCTGTGCTATAACTGTGCTTTCCATGCTGCTTGTATGTCCAGAATCCCACGCACGCCCATCTCTCCCCCTCTCCCACTCCCCGTCCTCACATGTGCAGCGGAGCCAGAGGTGCTGATCAAGGGCAAGGGGTCAAGCAGCGACCTGCAGCACCCAATCCATCCTGCACATTCGGATGAGGATGGGGATGCCTATGCAAATTGCTGTCTCGCGTCAAGCACAGCTGGATTCACGGCAGGGGCAGCAGGGGCGTACAGTAAGATGGGTGCACGCGATGACGGAGCGGACACAAGGGCAGAGCCTGGAGACGAGTGTGTGCGTGCTGCTGTATCCGCGGCTGCACTGCCCGCTGCAGGGCTGGGTTGTGGGCGGGGCAGCGAGGGCAACAGCGATGGGGGAGTTGCAGGGGGCAGCGGAAAGGGAGGATTGGGTGGGCTGTCCGGGGTGAGGGAGTTCTCCCTCCAAGAAATGGCTCTCGCCACCAACAAGTACGACTCCTTTGCTTCTCATCTCCTTCCTCTCTCCCATTCTCTCTCTCCTATTCGCCCTCTCATCCTGGCCTGACCAAACTTCTCCCTCTAATCACTCACTCCTCAAACCCCCCACCCCCTCCACTCCACTCCATCTCTTCCTCCCTTTCGCCTCCCCCTTCTCCTGTCCCTCCCCGTCCCTCCTGCAGCTTCCACGAATCGTCAGTCCTGAGCGAGGGCGGCTTCGGGCGAGTCTACCGCGACACCATCCCCCCCCAACCGCACTCCACCTCCTCCTCCCCCCCTGCTGCTCCTATCGAAGTGGCAATAAAGAGGATGGACCGGGGCGGGCGGCAGGGCGACAGGGAGTTCCTAGTGGAGGTGGAAGTTCTGTCACGCTTGCACCACCGCCACTTAGTTAAGCTTCTCGGCTACTGTGTAGCACCGGGCGAGCACATGCTGTGCTACGAGCTGCTGCCGAACGGCAGTCTGCACTCGTGGCTGCACGGGCCGCACTCCCACCACGCCTTCCTCGACTGGCCCGCGCGGGTCAGCATAGCAGTGGGCGCGGCGAGGGGGCTGGCGTATCTACACGAGGGGTCGCAGCCAGCGGTGATTCACCGCGACTTAAAGCCGTCCAACATCCTGCTGGATGCGCGCATGAGCCCCAAGCTCGCTGACTTTGGGCTCGCCAAGGCGGCGCCGCAGGGGGCGGATGAGCACGTGTCCACCCGCGTCATGGGCACCTTTGGGTGAGTGGCGGGTCGGCTGTGGTTGAATCTTGCACATGATCGATGGAAGCAAGTCCCAACGTGTGGCCGTCTTCTGATCAGCACCATTTCTCATGCCAACCCTCCTCGTCACCCTCCTCCCTTTTCTGTCCCCCCTCCTCCACCCACCCCCTCCGCCCTCACCCACCCGTTCCCCCCATGCAGGTACGTGGCGCCGGAGTACGCAATGACGGGGCATCTGATGGTGCCCAGCGACGTGTACAGCTTCGGGGTGGTGCTGCTGGAGCTGCTGTCGGGCCGCAAGGCCGTTGACACCTCGAGGCCACTCGGCCAGGAAAGCCTCGTGCTCTGGGTGAGTCCTGCCGGTGCACTGTGTGCTCAGGGCGAGTGTTTGTTACTTCTCCTGTTGCATCGTAGCTGTTAACATTCTCATCCAGTAGATATTCTCCTCTCTTCCCCTCAAAATCCTCACCCTACCTCTTCCTTGTCCCCCTCTCCCTCTTTCTATTGCTCCCGATCCCACTTCCCCTCCCTCAATCCGCCCTGTGCCCTGCCCCATGATCACTGCAGGCGCGTCCACTGCTCTCAAAGCCCTCCCGCTACCGCCACCTGCTGGACCCGCGCCTGCTCGCCTGCCCTTCACCGCCCCCCCCTGCTGCGCTGCACACTGTCGCCACACTCGCCAATGCCTGCGTCCACAGCGACCCCGCCGCCCGCCCCTCCATGAGCACTGTCGTCGAGCTGCTGCGCCGCGCACAACAGACAAGCAACGCCGACCAGAAGCAACCGTCGTTTGCGTCTCTGCTGTCGCTGGATACACTGTGCATGGCATCGCCTTGTGTGCAAGAGCAGGGCGGCTCCCTCATGCCACCTGATTCCAACCCCGATTCCTCCTTGGGACCCCACAGCCCCAGGTGTGACTCCAGTGCACCCACCCTGCCTGCACTCGCCACCACCCCACCTGGTAGCGCCAGCACCTCGCCCTGCTTCCCCCCAGGGTCCTCTCTCATGGATAGCTCGCAGGTCACTCGCAGCAGGAGCAGCAGAGACAGCAGACGAGATCAATCTGCTGCCAGCAGTCGGCGCAGCAATGGGAATGGCAACCCCTCTGTTGCTAGAAGTAGGAGCAGCCGAAGCAGCAGAAATAGCGGAACCGGAGCGTGTCCCCTCCCGCCTGCTGGGTCTAAGCTTCCGCCTCGAGCTCACTGTGACTTGGGGAGGAGACAGCACAGAGACACAGGAACAATGCTGAATGGAGCAGTGATATCTGATCCGGATTTGGAGGACACTGCCACATCGGCACCAATGCATGCGATGCTGGAGGTTGATGGTGACGTGCACCCTGCAAGCAGTGCACAAAATGGGGTCCTGGCTGGAGCACCATTGGCACAATCCCCAGCCGTGACTGGTGCTGTGTCTGCAGCTGAATTGTCCGCTGCTGGCTCATGCACCATGCGTGCAGCTCCACAGGAAAGTCCTGCCAGTGTGATTGAGTCAGGGCTGCACTTCTCCCCTTTCTTCCATGACCAATTAACCCCCGGTGAGCCCTCGCGATTCAGTCCCAGCTTGAGTACTGCAGCCTGTGAAGCCAGCTCTCAGGCTGTGGTGGCGAGGGACACGGATTGGCAAGTCGAAGGGGGTCAACCATTCTCCATGTCACGCGCGGCAGGGGCTGTGCAGCCTACGCTATTGTCGAGAGGAGGGATTGGAGCGCAAGGAGAAAATTCCTGGCAGATGCTGCCGCCAGCAGTTGTGACGAGCACTCCAGTGTTTAGGTTGTCAGATTGTGTAGGGAATGAACAGGAACACACGGAGAATATGGTTAGGATAAATAAAACAAACGATGGGTCGAACCTGCAACATAATTTGCTGTATAAGGGTGATAGCTAGGTTGCAATTTCTTGAAAGCTGTCTTCCAGTAGAAAAGGTATTAGAAGGATGTTATTGTAATTGGAAGGAAAACGTTGGCAACCTAGATAGACATGACAGATAGTGAGTTGCTCGTGTACCAGATTTCTTGCCAGAGGTATGTTGTTATCTCGGTGAATCAACGAAGCTGGGCGACAGTCACTGGGCGAGTGAGCGATGCTCGCCTGGTTACCGCAGGTGGCTCACCACCTCATCTCGGCTCACCACGGCCGCACCACCTACAATTCCTTTGGAGAGCTCTGGGTTTGGCTCATAGTGCTCGTCCCTACTATTTAGGTGCCTCTCATGACCTCTGCTGTTTCACTTTAGGCCTGCGCCATTGCCTGACCCCAATACATTGGCAGACTTCATCCTGACGCTTGCGATCTTTCGTTCATGTTTGTTCTTGTTTCGTTTTTTCCACGACCAAGTGCTGTGAGTTTGTTGTGTGTGCTCAGGCGAAGGGTTCCCCGCATAGACATCAAGCGTTCCAGAATACAACCTCATGACAAGTACGTGGGCTGTACCCTGAACTCCCCGTTCTTCCTCCTTACCCGCTTGGCGAGGCGTTGCTTGCCTGGCCTTTCGATGCCTGGGAAGTGTCATTTGTCGAGCGGAGATCGGAATAGCCCGTGCTTTAAACCAATTAGTGCACCCTTCCCGTGTGCTCTTGTTGACCTGTCGTCCGGGACATTTCCTTCCGATAGCTATGGCGGCTTCTTCGTGGTCTTTCCTTTGTGTACCTTGTTGGTAGCACCCGTGTTTGTACTGCAAAGGTTGTGATTGCTCGATTACTCACCCCTCGTGGTTACCTATCTCTGCAGGGCCGCGTGCTTATTCAAGACGTGGGCTGGGCGAAGCTGTTCGCAACGACTTTCCCTTCAAGGTTTGCAATGCGTAGTCTTGTGTAAGCGTAATGTGGTAGAAGTGTTGCCGATGTATTGCCAGATGTATGTAATCTCGTATAAGATTTATTCAAAATACAATTTTGCAAAAAGACATGGACAATTCACAAGTACCCATGGGTCTACATCAATGTCTATTACCATGCAGTGACTAGAAAATGATTGTATTGGAATGTGGATAGTGCATAGAAGCAATTCTCGTCGCCATTCTATTCCGCGAGGGTCGGCGGAATCCAGCAGTACCCCTGAGTGCGACGGTACCCCACGCGCTCCGCCAGCTCGTCCGCGTGATCGGGGCCCCGGCTGCCTTGTTTGTAAGGGTGCGGGGGGAGGGCGCCCTGATCGATGCGGTGCAGCAGCGGCGTGAAGATCTCCCACGCCGCCTGTGAGGGGAGGCACGGGAGAGGGTCACAGAGGTGGGAGGGATGGCCGAGGACAAAGGGTGCACCTATGCAGCCTTCCTGCCAGACGTACAGCAAATGAGGCCAAACTTTTAAACGTGTGAAGAGGATTTGAGTCTGAGTATCCTCCCTGAGATCGCCATACCTTGAGCTCGTCTCGGCGCACAAAGTGCTGCTGGTCGCCATTGATGCTGCAAGGGGATGCATGGGGGGGGGAAACACATGCCAAACACGGGAAGGTGGGCTCAGCAAAACAGCCAACCACGAGCGTGCGATGGCCGACACGACACGGCAGGTAGACACCACACAGGAGTACATGAACGATAGCAGCATGGCCTGTGTGTGCTGACCTGTCGAGGATGAGGCGCTCGTAGGCCTCGGGGATGACCACTCCTGAGTAGCGCTGGCTGTAGCTCAGATCCAACTCACTCATCGTCGCTGCCATCTCCAACCCCGGCTTCTTCACCTGCCACCATGCCATGCACCATGCAGCACACCATGCCATGCACCATGCAGCACACCATACCAGTCACCATACTGTGAGTCCCATCTCATCGTAGACTTTGAATTTGCACCATCCTAGCAAAATCATGTGATAAACAGCCGCCCCTCTCACACACACCTCTTCCCTCGCACGTTCGTTGACTCACCGTGAGCTTCATGTACATGGCTTCTGATGGCTGCAGGCGCATCACAAACTCGTCCCGCGAGTTCCGCCCACCTGCAACACCACCGTTGCAAGGGACGGGAGGCGCGAGCAGGGAGGAACAGAGGCATAAGACAACTCTACACCGATCGAGCTGTGGAGAATAAGGACGAAATGAAGAGCATGCGGACAAGTGCAAAGGAAAGGATGCGGACAGAATGGGAGGCAGGGAGTGCAAGCGAGCTCACAGCCAAAGATGTCGCCCGGCACGTCATGGAACTGCACTCGGATCTCCGCCTTGCGTGACTCCAACGCCTTGCCCGCCTTCATTATGAACGGCACCCCTGCTCACCCCATAGGCGGTAATGGATTGGTGGCGGGGGAAGACAGTAAGTGAGAGTGCATGGCTCAAACGTGGCAATGGTACAAGGTCCGCCCACACATCCCACAGGACTAGCCAGAGTGCACAGTGCGCACTGCACGGAATCCCGGCGCACCACACATCCCCAACCTCCCTCTCACCATCCCAGCGCTCGTTCTTGATGCGCAGCACAAGCGACGCGAAGGTGGGCGTGTGGGAGCCATCGGGCACGGTGGGGTCATCGGTGTAGCCGTCGTACTGCCCCAGCACCACCTCGTCCTCCCTGATGGGCTGTATGGCTCGCAGCACCTTCACCTTCTCGTCCCGAATCTCCTCTGGCTGCACTGACACCGGCTTCTCCATTGCTACGAGACACAGCACCTGGGTGGCGAGAGGGGGGGAGGGGTTGAGAGGGGGTGCATTGCATGCAGTGAGGCTGGCAGCACCTTCACCTTCTCGTCACGAATGTCCTCCGGCAGTACCGACACCGGCTTCTCCATCGCCACGAGGCACAGCACCAGGGGGAAGAGGGGGGGAAGAGGGCAGGAGGAGTTGGTATCGTAAGGGAGTAAAGGAAGGCTGATAGAAGAAGCACCGAAATTGGCTTCCCGAGTGGAAAAAGGGGCGGCAGGTGAGAATGGCATGCGATGGAGAGGGCAAGAGGGGCGGCGCACCTGCATGAGATGGTTCTGAATGATGTCCCGAATGATGCTGCACAAGGGGAAGGAGGAGCGAGGGGATGGAAACGACAGAAGCGCAGAGTCAGATATCAGAAGCACCACATGGCTGCAATGACAAGAAGCAGTGAGAGGAGCAATTAAAATGGCAAGAAGCAGTGGGAGGCCGCGAGTGAGAGGGCAGAGGAGAGGCAGGGGGGGGAGGGACGGCACACCCACCCATACTGGTCAAAGTAGCCTCCGCGGCCCTCCGTGCCAAAGTCCTCCCTGAACACAATCTGCAGTGGCAAGGGGGAGATAGGCAAGTAGGTGGTGGTGGTAAGGCAAGCAACGAGTGTGGGGAAGGGTGGAACGTGAAGGCAAGGGCGAGTGGTGGGGGGAGCGAAGAGGAGTGGCGCCAATGAGGTGCACGCACAAGTCACAGCTGACACGCATACCACGTGTCACGTGCGTGCACCCACCACCCACCTGCACGTTGGCGACATTTTCTCGGTTCCACAGCGGCACGAAGAAGCGATTGGCAAAGCGCATCACCAACTGGTTGGTGGGAGGGGAAGGAGGGAGCAAGGGAAGCGTAAGAGGGAAGGGCAGAGACGAACAGCACAAGACATAACCATGTGCCTGGGAGAAGAAGTAATGGCACATGGCAGCTGCATGCACACAATACTTGCTGCACTCTCTCCCCTTCCACATCCAACCATATACCCCACGTCCTCCCACCCCACATCCCTCCCCTTCCCCCCTCCTCCTTCCACCCCCTTCCCCCCTCTCCCCCCCATGGAGCGCACCAGGTTCTGCACGACCTCCTTGCCCAGGTAGTGGTCGATGCGGTAGATCTGCTCCTCGCTGAACAGCGCCCCCAGCTCGGCCCCCCACAACCCTCCCCCCTTCCCCCTTTCCCCCCTCCCCCTTCCCCTATGAGCGCACCAGGTTCTGGACGACCTCCTTCCCCAGGTAGTGGTCGATGCGGTAGATCTGCTCCTCGCTGAACAGCGCCCCCAGCTCGCCGCTCAGCGCCTCCGCGCTCGCCAGGTCGCGCCCAAACGGCTTCTCCACGATGACGCGCGTCCACCCGCGCGCGTTCATGCAGTACCGCCGCACCTCCGCGCACACCGGCGGGTACACCGACGGCGGCAGCGCCAGATAGAACAGCCGCCTCGTCGCCCCGCTGCTGCTGTCACTGGTGGTGCCAGTGGTACTGTCGCTGGTGGTGCCAGTGGTACTGTCGCTGGTGGTGGCGGTGGGAGCGGTGGTGTTTTCGAATGCGAGCATGGCCTTCTGCAGCTTGGCGTAGCCGTCCCGGCCGTCGTAGGGGCCGTGGATGTACTCCACCTGGGGACGCAGCGGGAAGGGG